TAACTTGTGGCTGTATTTGTTGAAATACAAGACGACACCTCTTCTGCAAATATGCTTTAGTGACATTATTATTATATTTGCTTACCAGTTTAACAGTATACGTTTGAATTTTTATATGCTTGTAGATTTTACCTCTTTATGGCAATAAAATGATACAAGTTCTGATACGTACGTACGGTATTGTTGCATTATGGTACTGGAAAATATATTTTTTACTTGTTACACCGCTGACCGCGTATTAAAAATAAACTACCGTTGATTTTCGAAAAGATTAAAGAAATTTACCAAAAAAAATTTCAAAATATTCAAACATACCGCGATCAAACTGAAAGTCTCTCTATTAGAGCGATTTTAAATTAATATAGTAGATGTCACACCCTTCATTGTTCTCGTGAATAGGATATAATTAATGTAATTTAATACATACATGTGCAGTTAAAAATAAAACTCCTTAATTTATTAATCAAACTTAGAATTTTAACGGAACATTTGTACAAAATAATTTTGGAAAGTTTGACAAGAATCCAAAATTTGAATTTAAAATAGTAACAACTAAATATAAAATGTAGGTAGCGGTATATTTAGGAACTTTAAACATAAAGTAATGCTTGTCAAGCCGCAATTTTGAGTCAAAATTGAATCAACGGTTGCTGTAATTCTCTAACATATGCCAATTTAGTGATTTAAACAATTGCCACATTTGTCAAGTCTTGTCGCATGCTGCCATGCTCCTGATTTAACACTCAATAATTCAACTTTTTGTTAACAAAAAGATGTGCTTCACTATAACATATATTTCGTACAATAAAAGTTGACAGCAGATCAATTAAAAATTATAGATTTCTGTACAAATTCCAATTTCAAATGTGTTTCCGCCGCAACAGATGGCGCCACGGTGCGCGATCATTTGTTTTCCTCAAGAATAATTTTTTAAAATACAAATTGCAGATTTAATGAAAATACTTGTTTACCGACCTTTATCTTATCAGTTAAGTATTACGTCTCGCGAAAAATAAAAGCATTGGAGATATTTTTAGACATGACCGAATGTAGATAAGTTCCCTTTATAAAAGAATTTTATCGTAAGTTTGCATTTGAATCCTTGCCAGATATATTCGTTGTTTGTAATTTCGAAACTGTGAAATTAACAGAAGTTTGTTATTTGTTATTAAAAACAAATACATATACACAAGATTTAAACGTAGCTCAGGAAAATTTACGGAGCTTATTTATGTTTTTAGAATTCTAATTTTCAGCCACAGCCATTTGAAAGGTGTTTAAATTTTTCTAAAAAGTTGTATATTTGATATAAATACTCATTTTTTATTTTTTATTGTCTGTTGCAGTTTTTATCAGCTGGAACTAATTTCTTTTTTATACTCAATTAATTTCGTATTTTTCGTCTCGTTTTTGAACTAATGTTGCATACTGTGCGAAAAATACACGTAATCTTAGTTAATACTGATTCATTATTTGTTTCTACGTAGATTGCGAAATTTCATAAATTTAAAAATAATTTATTGCGGCAATAACCAATTTATCAGGTGTGGATTAACGACCATACAATTAATCGATAAATATGGTGACTCCGCAATAAATATAATTGACTAAAACTTTACACCTTATTTGGCGATAATTCATGGAATTTGATTAGATTCCAACAGAATATTTTTTTGAAATTATTTTTAACATATTTTGAATAACTTGTATAATGTCTATTCAACTTTAATTCAGTAATTCAATTTAACTATTTTGTATTTGTTGCGATTGAAGAGGAATTATTGTTTTTTTTTTGTTACTTGAACTACTTTTAATTCTTGGATATAGATATCGAAAAGACATAATTTAAGAAGCAATCAGCTGTTTTTAATCCAGGATTAACCTTTCTCCTGCAAAACAAGTTGTAAAATTATTTGTCTCAATGTTGTTTACTGAAAAATGAAGGTATCAGTGAAAAATCCATCAAATATTGACGAACGGAAATCTTATTTCAACAAGTTGTTTTTATATTATTTAATTGCATTAATTAGTCTGGAAATTTCTGAAATTTATTTTCTTTAAAAAACAGCTCAAGAAAATTAGGAAACAAAAAAATTCCAGGTACTCTTATCTTAATTAGAATATCTTAGTCTTAACTAAATAAGAAGTGGAATTTTAGTGTTTGAAACTGTTTATAATTTTTCAAAGGAATCCAAGTAGTTTCATTAAATCTGTTTTATAGCTGTGAGCAAAAAAAAGTTTCCAACTTTTCCAGCTTTTAAATAGGTTTGAAAAACGAAACCAATAATATCCAATTTTGTAAGAGGCCATACCCCGATTAGGTTGGAAACTTTTTATTGTCCTCAATAATTGTACATGTACATAAATTGTGATAAAATTCTTACCTTCAATAAATTGTCCAATAACTAGGAAGTAATCGAAGTTGCTGTAGTTTATGGACTAATTTCAGACATTTACTGACTTTTAATACTTTTAATACTTATTCAATGGTACCAATTTTAATTGCATTCTACAGTATTGACAGTTACTTTTAGTATTTTAATATTATACATGTCAGTTATTGTAGTTAGAATAACTTTGCTGCTAAAAATTGGTACCTTAAAATTTGACTAAAAAATTTGTATTTATTTTTTATTGTAAGTTATTAAATTTATTGTAATATGTAACAAGGAACTACAGACGTAACGAATTATGACAACCGCTTGAATAATTTAATATTTAATAGGTTTCAGTTATTAATTAGGACATCCATATATTATTTGGATAAAAATAGTTTTAACTTCAAATCTATCAGTGTTGACGTAGATTGTTGGCATCAACAAAGTTTTGCAATTTTGTGGAGGTCAGCCTGGTGAATTCTATCTAGACTGCATGGCCTCTGGTCTGTGTTTACAGTGAATATCTTCAAAACAAAAACGTGCTCGCAATGTTAAAAACTTCCTCTTAGCAACAGTGGTAAATAAATAATCTTTACAACTATCAAAACACACTAGAAGATGTTACAAGTATTATGTAAACAATTTGAAAGACCGAAAGGTGAATAATAAACCTCGATGATTGTGATAAAGCTTTATCTTGAGTACAAATAAGAAACTAGGTTGTTTCTGTTGGATTTTCAATGGAGGAGATATGTAAAAATAAGTTTTATGTACTACAAAAGCTATTGTTAAAATATCAGGTCCTATCTTATCATTGCCACGTGTTTATGAAACCCTGCAGTCTGGAGAAAAACACCGACTTGACGGGCATATTTACGACTTGTTTTCGAGTACAGTTTTTATGGATGAAGATGAAGTGTGTAACGATAAAAGAAAAAGTAGGATTAAATATCATGTAAAACTTTTGCTAATCGCACTACGTTAAGTAGTGGAAAATTAATGTTTTCGTGTCCAGGATCGTTATTAACATTTTTATCTCACGGTACAATAAATACTAATTGATCATAACTAAGCGATTGAGACCAATAGATAATATAAAATTTATAAGTGGAATAAGCCCAAAGTTGTTGGAAATAGCCCGAAGTTTTTTGTATTGATTCGATTTACAGACAGTTTTTTTCACTATACGGGGTGTCCCATCGGGAACTGCGTCGATCGATATCTAGGAAAGTATCACTTCGAAAAATTTGAAAATTTGGCAACATGGCAGTGTCCCTAGAGCAAACACAACTAAAATATCTAGAATTCTCTAGCATTGCATTTTCAGATTCTAAGTGAAATTTGAGGGTCAATTTATTAAATATTCCCTACATCTAGGAATTATAGAATTTGAGATATTAATATTTAAAGAAAATAATAACTAACTTTAACTAACTCTTTAACATTGCCAAGTTGTCAAATTTTCAAATTTTTCGGAAGAGTACTTTCCTAGATATCGATCGACGCAGTTCCCGGTGGGACACCCTGTATAGTTATTAATTAATACCATTGAAAAATAATAAAACATTTTTTGGTATAAATAACTTTAATCTTGGTCAGTTTTTCAAAATGTTTTATGGTTCAATTAGCTGAATAGGTGAAAAAAAATTTAAGTATAAATTATAAACACATCATATTTTTTTTGTGATTTATTAGATCAGAAGTGGGATATGAAATATTAAAATGTGTCACTTTTTTTCCACGTTAAAAAGTTATCTGATAACATTTTTTGCTTTATCAAAATATTTTTTAGCTTAGTCACATACAATGTGTAATAAGAATTGTCTAAATTTATCACAAGTCATCTTTACAATATCTAAATTTTATATGTTTAACTACTGCTGACCCGACAGACGTCTTATCCAAATTTCAATAATCCCGTCAAAGTTCAGTTTTTCTCGAGTTTTCCAATTTTCTGTTCAACTTTTCCAATTTTACTTTTCCGAAAAACTACTTTAACAAACATTTAAAATGAAAAATTAGCTGAATCTATCCAGCCGTTCTGAATGATGCGCTTACCAACAAACAGCATTTAATTTTTATTTATATAGATTATTAGCTAAACGACTGGTCATTTAAAAATCGGTAACTCGCTGAAAAATCTAACTGATCATTTTTGGTTGTTTGCATTTTTAAATTTCAAAAATTATGTTTCCTTAGACTGATCTTTTGTTGTCTAAATTATTTTGTACTTTACAATTTAATGACTGCTCATTCTGGACTTTAAAAATTTGCATTGCATGTACTTTTTGTCCCTTATTTGAACAGTTTTAAAGTAAAAACAGTAAACGTCACTTTTGACCACGTTTTAAAAGGAAAAATATTTATTGGCAACTGCAAATAGCCATTTTAAACGAATTATTGAAACAGAGGGAAGTAGTGGTCATTTTAAATTTTTTAATATTAGTGGCTACTGGTTATTCACTTTGATCAATTTGATCTGCCTTCAGTAATTATTATTAACATTAAACTACACACCTTATCTTTGATATTTTGTTTTCGAGCATACATTTTTGTCCCAGTCAGCTGTTTTGATACCGAACTCTTTTTGACACCGATCGATAACCTCCAGTTTTCTTTCAGCAAACATATCTGAAACGATAACGGATGAACTTATGCAGAGGTGGTATGGCCCCGATGTAATAGTCGCCGAGATTAATAGGAGGAGCGGCGAACACATCCAGATGAAGATGGCCGACATTCCCATTACAGAGAAACTGGAGAAGTTCGTGGAGGATGTCAAGTAAGTTGATCTGAATTTTTCAAATATTTTGTCTCTATTAAAAATTACATTTTAAAGCCCATTAAAATTGCATCTATTTAGATAAGGCAAAGCAAGGTTATATTTCAGTTACCGAGAACAACAATCCTGCATATTTTTAGTTGAAATTTAGTTCAAATATTCGAGATTATCTCTTCTTTGTATTTTTGCATAGCATCCGACTGTGGCATGATACCTTTTTTATAGCTTTATTAATACGAATACTTATATGCTTATCTTATATAGATCGTTGAGGTTGATTATCCAACTTGCATGTTAAAAATAATAGAAAACGGCGTGATAAACGGCAGATTACAACATTTTTTGAAAAATCATTCTATATATAGACGTGCTCGAGTTTATTACGTCAGTACAGATCATTTTTATTACTTTGAACCCTAATTTATCCCCAATTGTTTGAATGTAAATAGTTGCGGATTTTCTCTACTATTTCAACAATGTCTAGTGCGCTCTTCAAGTGGTTTGTTTGTATTTGTGGTTATTTTAAATTTTTACTACGCGGTATTTTTGATAATGTATGTTGAGTATGAGTAAAAGCTGACCGGTTACGGTTAAACGTAGTGCACTTATTACTTTATATATTTTGACTTATTTTTCATCGTTGTTCAAATAAAAATTTTGTGTGAGCTACGGTAGATCTTAATTATTTACTTACAGAACTAAGCTTATTATTTAGAATATGGAATATTCTTAGTACCTGTAATAATTTAATCTAGATTGACGTGCTTATTAAAATCAATTTACTTAATCATAAATTGGAAAAAGAGAAGCTGTATATGTTTTTAAAAATATATATTTTATTATTAGCTCTCCTATTTTTACTTTAATATAAAGGTATTAAGCTAATTCAAATGAATAAAAAAAAGTCCTAAAAAGTCTTATTAAATGAAAAATAATTCACATTAATCTAGATATATTGTCAACACTTTTGGGGATGTTGTTTCAAATTTTTTTTTTCTAAAAGTTTTGTGTTTTTTGTATATAATTCTGTTCTATTAATATTTATTAATTCCATTCACAAGCAGGTCACTAAATAAAATGTTGAAATAGTAAGATCTTTCTATCGTGGCTATTTTTACATGTTGGCCTTTGTCTAGAGTGATATTAGAATAACAAAAATACAAGATATTTATTTAAAAGATTAGACAAACGTTATTTAACAATGTTATTATGTCAAGCATGTGTTTTTATGTTAATAATATTTAGACGTCTTTAGACAATTAATTATTAATTACTAGATATTACTGGTATAATTTCATGCTATTTGGGAGCATAGAAGTACTTAGTTGTTTCCCGCAATATCAACAGTTAGGAATCATGTCTGTGAGGTTAGATTTTTGCATGCTTAAATTTTTTGAAACACTTTGACTTCATTTAACGGATTTTTTTTAGAAAAAAAAAAACAAAAATGTGTATTAAATTAGATGTGATATGTATACAGGGTGTTCCGATTTATCGGTGTGTATAATTTCCTCAAAATTGCAAATGCACTTTTTATTGCAACACTATTCCATATCCCTACTTATTCATTTTTAAATTTGTATATAAAATTTGGAAATGCAACAATTTCATTAATTTTTGTTTTCTTTTTTTAACTTTTTTCAGTATCAATCAACTGAAAAAGAACAATTTGCATCTTTACATAATTTACAGTCTTCTTGAAAAATACAACTTTAATCATTAAAAAAAGTGTTATTAGAAATTGGATAAAAATAATACAACTTTTTTAAATTGACCGAAATAAAAACTACCTGGCGTTTGATTTGCAGTTTTGAGATAGTTTTCAAAACGACACGTTTTATTGTTTTAAAAAGCCTCTGTGACATTGGGATAAGAAAATTCAGGGAGTTAGTTTAAGGACATTATTTTTATTTCAATGTGAATACAGGTATTAAAACTGCTGTGATTCGGACTTTATTATTACATTACGGACATTACGTATCTATAGGGTGTCCCAATTTATAGGTGTATACAGTGTGGCCACGGATTGAGTACACATGGGGTGTAAATGGCAAAAATTTTTTCGAGTTGAAATTTCAGCTCTGAGCATAAATTAGAAAGTTGGAAAAATCAGTCCAATTAATTAATGCACAGGGTGTTTTTACGATGAATTATCAAAAATTGTCAAGAGTATAAAGTTGTTTTTAAAAATATCAAGAATATTTACTTAAGAAAGTTATTGAGAACTAAAAGTTATGACAGATTGTCAATTTTCAATTTGATTGGCCAACTTTGTTTTTTTTTATTTTTCACAACCACAAAGTATAAATTCCTAATTACTTATTAGAGTAAAAAACGTAACTAATATAATAAACATAAATAAACAAATAATATAATGTTATTCTAATGTGCTGCTCAGCGCGGTTGGTAAATTCTGTATAGGTAGGTGTTTTGGATTTCTTGGATGGGGATTGTATATTTCATTCTTCGTTTCAATTCAAATAAATAGTTATTCAACTGCTTGAGATAGCCCCATAAATAAATGTCCATTAGAGTTAAATCAGGACTTCTAGGAAGCCAAGGAATTGGGCCATTTCACCCAATCCATCGTCCAGGAAATTGACCATCTAGCCGTTCTCGAATGATTCGCATTGAATGCTTGTTGAAAGTAAAGAAAAAAAAACAAAGTTGGCCGATCAAATTGAAAATTGATAATATGTCATAACTTTTAGTTCTCAATAACTTTACTCTTATCAATTTTTGAAAATTCATCGTAAAAACACCCTTAGTTTAAGGCCAAGCAGAGATTGAACCCAGAAGCTTAAATTTTAACTGGAAAAATTTTTGTCATTTACACCCCACCTGCACTCAATCCGTGGACACACTGTATAACAAGTAAAGAACCAGTGAACTTCAAATCGATCAATTTTTTACAATTTAAGTGTAAAAAAATATATAGGGGTACTAGATTTTGATGATATCGCTAATACAGTTTCTTCAAAATTGGCCCCCAAAAAAAATTGTAGCAGGGGTAACATTTTGAGGACGTTATACTTTCTAAATATGCACCTTGTTAGTTTTGTAAATTAGGACACCCTGTATGTTGTCAGTTACCTCTTAAAAGCACTTGAATCGGCAAAAAATCGTAAATGTTGCTTTATCAAAAAAAAAAAATTGTTGAATTCAATTGTTCAGTGATTATTGTCGAGAGTTTTGTAAATACGAATATAATTGCACTTGATTTTTAAGAAATATTGTCAGGATCATAACTCATTAAAAATCACACCTTTCCTAACTTCCTTGAGAACTATACTAATAAAAAGTATTTTTATGAACATGTTTTGCTTGCACTCATCAATTATTTTTGTTCTGCACCCACTCACTTTTTTTGTTGCAAAATAATTTGTGCATAAACAGGTTTTTAAAGCTTTGAGAGTTGAATGAACACCACAAAGTACGCAGATCATATTAGAGCATAATGAATATATAAAAACCTGACTCAACCTCACAGAAATCAATTCATTCTGTTTGTGTTGACCCAATGAGTAAGAACAGGACAATCGAATATAAATGAGAAACACCAACATTTTGCATAATGGCTATTTATATATACCCACCATGACGTAAGGGGGACTAGTTCTATCACACTCTGCTTATCACTCCACTCTCTTATCAGCAATATAAGGATGGCAAAGGTGTAACTCGAGTCATTGTGTCTAGTGGTTTGGAAACAGTGGTTGCCCTTATACAGATACATTCTTGCTGTTATCACTTTTTCGGAAATTAGTACATATGTGTGTTAAAATGTCACTGGATGTGCTCTTTTATCAGCTGGCTGCGCTTTCCTCCGATCACCGGTGAGTCTCACGAGGAAGTGACAGTTTTTAACAGATATGTTGGGCTGGTTGACCTTTCACCTGTATGGACTTTAAACTTTTGCGTTTTCGTTTACTAGCCTTTGTTTTTGTTTTCAAATTATGTACAGAGAAATTTGTTAATGTTTTTTTGACCTAAAAAGATAATGTGGAAAACAAGAAAACTGTCAACAGGTCCCATGCGGGGCAATCTAATAGGCTATAATGTCGATCTTTATAACCTTTAAGTGGTAATGTATTGATTTATTTGAAATTTATATGATATCGATTTCGGTCTGTGCTGCTACATGTTTTTATTTTTACAAAGTAAATATATTTTTACTTATTTGTCTGAAGAATCTGACTTTATAATGTAGAGTATTAAAATTTAATAAAAAAAATGCTTAATAATAAATTACGGGCTTTATAAAATTTTGTTTTTTCCAGTTTCTAAAATGTCGTTTTCAAAATTAAACGTAGAAGTTATTATTTTGTTTTGAATGTAAATATAGTAACGTCTTCATAATCTGGGTCGATTAAAACTGTCGCGATCTAGATTTTAGGAAAATTTGTATTACCAAAGCATTTCTATAATTATGTATATACATGGTGTTCCGATTTATAGGAATACAAGCCTTTATTAACGTAACACGTAAAGAACCAATGAAGTTTAAACGTATTTTGTTAAATAGATTTTAAAAAGGCGTATATTTGAAAACTATAACTTCCTCAAAATTGCAAAACTCTGCCTGCTAATACTTTTCCTAAGAACCAAATTTAAAAACGTATTAATTTTTTTATACGAAATCTAATAACACTACATTCTTCTACGTCTTTCAAAATGTTCCTCTATGAATTTTTATTATTCATATACAAGATTTAAAAATAAGTATATCATTTTATTATTTTTCGTGTTATTATTTTAATTTTTTCTCAGTTAATACCGAAAATGGACAATTTGCACTTTTTCATGAACAACTTTTCTCTTGAAAATTTATTAAATCAAAGTAGACCGTTTCAAGTGGCTTAAAATAAAGTGTTGTTAGATTTCTGATAAAAAAATCAGTATGTAATACAATTTTCAAATATTACACACAAAAAAAAAACAACTGGCATAAGATCAGCAATTTTGTATTGTTTCTAAATATGCTCATTTTTAGGATCTAGTTAATAAAAAATATTTCAATTTCGTATTAGGTTGAAACACTCCATATTACATAATAATATAATAAATAAATGGTTCGAGTCGAATGAAATACATATATTAAATCAAAACAAATTTCTATATTGTTATTAACGTTAAATTAAAATGTGTCCGGAAAATCTCCTCAAACAGCGAATATGTATTCGCTTCCTGAATTATAAAGTGCCACAAATCCTGATTTTATAAAGAACATTTTGGAAAGAAAGGGAATAAAATATTCGAATAATCAAGGTATCTGGATTACCGAAATTTGGTTCATTAAAACATTACTGCAGCCCCCAATTTTTGGCGAGTTCTTTTAATAAAATATCATATTTTTGCAATAAATTAATTTTTGCCTATTCTGCTCTTGAAAATCAAAAGGTCTCAAAACTTCCTTTGCCACACATTTTCTAAGTCTCTGTTAAATCGAGTAAAGGAAATAAAGAAAACCGAGGGAATATCTTTCTTCTGAGGTGAGAGCAATGTCAGATAGTCCATAAAGCAATCACAAAGGTATTATAAACTGAAGATATACGATGTTTATGATCATAAAAATATGTCAATGCTAGCCTGGTGAACAAAGTAAGTGTGCTCTTGTGACCTTTAATTTAACAACACCTTAATCTCAGATTACACTGTTTGCTTATCACGGTGTTCCAGAGGCGTGTTGTTTGTTTTAAATTTCCGTTCACGACTTGAGGAAGTGCCAAGAGCTCCTACTATTTGTGTCGGTAAATAAGAGCCGTTTTGCAGGTGTTACTGGCTGACAAAATTCACTGGAAAAACTGTATCGGTAGGAGTAAATTTTGTAAAATGATGTTTGAAAAAACATTACAAAAAGAATTATTTTGGATTTAATTTAGTTTTATGAATGCCAAGAATAGAATACTGTTCTTTTCCTATAAAAACAATAATATAAATTTGATTTTGTTTTTGTGCCTGTGTAAAATTATGTTGGCATCTGCCGTTTCTAAATTTAAATGAAAATCTTCCATTTATACCAGATACCATTGTATTTTGAGTTGGATCAAACTGGTTCTGGAATGTTTTCTAGAGATAAGCATGTGTCTGAGATAAGATATTGGGTCTAGCTTGGCAGATAACTTGAAAAACAGGTATTTTTCCCAGCAAAATATTAGTAATGCAATCTTTATTTTATATATTATTATAATCGTACTTTAGAATAGTTTTTGGCTTTGATATATTTTTCATCAATTTGGGAAATGTTACTTATTGTAACTTGTCTTAAGATAATACCCTGTATATGATCTCTGAAACCCGAAAAAATATTTTTTATTATAAAATACTAGTGTTTATATTACAAAAGTTCACTTTACTATATTTCTTTTATTTGAAGATGTACAAAAACATTTTGTCATCCATTTCAATGGTGCATATTTCATTTCGGAAACATTTACGAAAAGTTGTAAGAAAAATTTAACTTTTTTTTCTGGTTAAAGTTATATTCTATTACTTTATTTGTGATGGTTAGTAAAATTAAAATGGTCATATTTTGATAAGACTCGTTCTGTTTTCTATGAGCTACTTTCTAGGACCACAGAAAACTTTCGTGATGAAAATATTTTAAAAAATTAAAAAATGCAAAATAAATTATTTTTTCGTAATGAACTAATGAATACAAACAAATGCTTTCTTATTTTTGTATTTCCTAAAGTTACAGCAGTATAGAATTTTAAAAATGGAAGTACAAAGAAAATTATTATTTTTTAATTTAACTAAATTTAAAATAATTTTTAAAACAAAAAAAAAACTCCTGATTGTTTATATTAATTGATCATGAAAAAATTATATTTTGTGTATACAGTATGTCCACGGTTAGAGTGGAAAAGAGGGGAAAATATTTTTATTTTTCATTTTACGAGAAAAAGGCATTCTTGATTAAAATTGTTGCTTGTCTTTAAAATGTAGTTGGCATGGAGAACTTTCATCTTGCATGTATTAACTATAGAAATCGTTCAAGAATAAACTGCCTTTGTTTTTAACAAAATCGAAATATGTTATTAAGGAAAATTGCTTAGAATTGAAATTTATATTGTAATTTCAATTTGTGTATGAATCGGCGTATTTTGATAGAATCGGACTGTTAAACATTTTTATTGTTAAATTTACGGGAAAAAAAAAGGCATGCTTGATTAAAATTTTTGCTTATCTTTAAAGACATTTTAAAGATATTTTAAAGACGAGCAAAAATTTTAATCAAGCATGCCTTTTTTTGTAAAATTAACAATAAAAATGTTTTGCTGACCTATGATAGTAGGCCCATTCGTACACAAATTGAAATTATTATATAAATTTTAATTCTAAGCAACTTTCCTTAATATTTCTGTATGTAAGGCAGTTTACTTTGGGAACGATTTTTATATTTACCAATTTTCTGATGACCCTGTACGAGCAAGATGAAAGTTCTCCATGCCAACCGTATTTTAAAGACGAGAAAAATTTTTAATCGAGAATGCCTCTTTCTCATAGAATGAAAAATACATATTTTACATACATATTTTCCCTCTTTTCCTTTCTAACCTTGGACATACAGTATATGGGCAATTCGAGATCTCAGTTTAAATTATTTATTTTACAAATTATACATCCTTAAAAACGGTATGGTCATTATCAAAATGTGAAATTCAAAATGGAAATGTAAAACAAAATTTTGTTTTCCTTAAACAAACGATACACAAATTGTATTCACTTATTTAACCAGTTCCCAGTTCCATGTACAACGTCGAGTTTCTGGCACCAGTTGTAAATTAAATTAGTCTAAAAAGGTGCTAAAAATAAACATACGATTTCCAGTGTGGTATTGAAAAGTAAACTATTTAACCGAAAGATAACAATGAATCCGCCCATACACAAAATAAACGAGTGAATCTGTGGGCGTAGATTTTTTTTTTATCCGAAAACCTCGAACTCATTACATCACTGACCAGATACACACACACACATATACACACACACACACACATACGCACACACACGGGCACAACAGCAGCATTTTAATTTTAAATGATGACAAGGTAGATGCCGGTTGTGAGCAGTTGCTGGCACAGCCTGTTATAAAAATTTATTTTTGTTTGTTCTAATTTTAGACACACCTGACAAGTCAGTTTGACGTCACTTTTATTTTTTCTCCCTATGTTAGCGACTCAGTGAGTGGTGCTGGTCCGCCTTAGATTAAGTTGTTTCAGCATTAGAGCCCCATTCAGTCTGAAACGAGTGTTTACTTTTAATTGATGATAGTGTTAATGGTCGTTTTGCTGCTTTTTATAAAGTTGTTGAGGTAACACGGAGAGTGTAATTATTCGAATTACTGCTGCTGGCTTCCAAGTTTTATTTATAGATTTAATCATTTTTAATTAATTCGACCACGCTATTAAACAACACCATTAATTTTATTAATATGATCCCTGCATAATTGTTGTTTGTGGTTCGGTATCTTTTGTACTTTTCTCTGAAAAATTCCTCCGGCATTACTTCCTTTCTAAAATTAGCTTGGTGCAATTTTCTCTTTGCTATTTGTCGTGAATGTTTTGTTGCTATGCATAAATTAGCTGTATTTTTCTAACGGCATTTTTAGCGAAATATTCGTAATGCTGCTATTTTTAGTTTGTCTCCATTCAGGAAATTTGACATTTGTGAAAATAAGTTTTATAAAACTTTTGAATATAAGAAACATTTTGGATTTTCTTCAAAAAGTACTTGTCACAATTAACCTTCTTTCTTATTATGTGGGGAGGGGCCGGTTGTAACTTCCATAATTTTATACGATTGAGTTTGAAGACCTAAAATGGGATCTTGTTGTTGCAGGAATGGCATATACCCGTTGACGGCCTTCGGAGCCAAGCAACCCCCGCCGCCCCGCTCGAGGGCCATCTCCCCCGAAATGGCGGAATCCGTCAAGTCGGTCACCCCAGAACCCACCGACGTAGAAACTAGAAAAATTATTAATATGATGTGTGATGTAAAATCCAAAGAAGAGAGCTGTGATTTATTGGTAAGTATTTATTCTAAGTTTTTTCCGTTTCGGTTTTCAGTACCTGTCCAAATTGTTTTTTTTTTTGATAGCCCATTAACAATCTTGACTTTTTCTTTGTCTCCTTGTTCTAGTTGACTATTGTACTGCGGATGGACGATAAAATGAATAGGCATTTAACTAGTTGTATATCACCGGGAGACAATCCAAAGGTTTTAGCGCAGGAATTAGTCCATTACGGTTTTATCAATGAAGTAAGTAAATATGATAAACCAATCATTCCATGACATCATTCAGTTAACTTATCGTTGCCTTGAATTCCTCTACGTTTCCTGTGAAACGTGTATCATTTCTTAATCATTCTCCACTTCCTTTTAAGCCCATCAAACACCATCATTTTATTGATCTAAATTGATCATAATTAATATATTTTTATTAAAAAAAGTTGTGAGAAATCCTCTCTTCAAGTTTCCGTTGAAAGTTAGATATTTCAAAAATATTTTATATTTATACACGGAAGAAAAATTATCATAAATTTAAGGGCAGGTAAATCTTCAAAAAATAAGACAATTTTTACATATTTTCAATTCAATGCCGGTAGGGGCATATAGCCCTCGGAGTAGTTGTTTCTCGCAACACCGACAATTAAAACATTGTCTTCCCCCTCTGTGGGTGGCAGTCGTGCAACAAGTATCTGCAATATAGCAGGTCGCTTCCTACTGTAGCCATTTGAATGTCACAGTTGGGAGTCAGCACGACAGATGGAGCCATTTGCGCTCCTGCGTACAAGGTTTTTACATATTGTCTTTTGTTTTTAAGATAAAAAACAACTGAGATTTTGTATGTGTAAGGTTTTGGGAACGACCTACTTGCTTCATATGTCACTAGCTATGATGTCTCCCAATGACATGAAACTTATTTGAAGAGGTTTTTTGCATTATACTTTGTGTAAAAGTTTCCTTACCAAAACTACTACTCTTGATAAAGCTGAAAATGGTCCGATTTTGCAAAAAACGCATTCAACTCTGTCAAAATCAGCTTTTTTCTCTCCCTAAATTCTGTTATTTTATAAATTACAGTCTATTGGAAGTTGCAGAAAATTATTTTAGCTCCTATTAACCTTTTAATTCATCAAATGTAAAATTATTACATACTTACAGAACATCTTACTAAGAAATTCTCAATTCTAAGTAAAAAAATATATTTTTCTGTTAAACCAAGTTTCAAATCAGTCACGGTTGATGAGAATTAAACTAGTGATAATTTGATAATGAAACATGGGGACTTTAAGGGATGATTTCTATGTTCATACAGAGAACTTTGAAAACAACAAATTTTGTAGGTAATCTGTGAAATAAATTTAAATTTCGTTAGCCTCCCCTAAGATCTCGAAAAGGGTTGCCCATCTATGCGCAATCTATTATTTTTCATAAACATATTAAATTTTTTTTGTGGCTACACCTATTTACACTGATTTAATACTGGACATTTTATTTTTCATAACTCGTAAGGCTGTAACTTTAAGAAATTTTAAGAAAATGAAAATTTTTTGAAAAATAAGACTTGTTATATCAGTTGATTATGAAAACGTGCATGCAACTTTTTTTGAAATTTCAGGAGAGGCTACCCTTATTTTAACTCTTTAGTTCACAAATTTCATTTAAAATTTTTCCATTATAATTGTTGACTTTGTGGGCCTAAAACTTACCTCCAAAACAATAGATTTCATTATCAAAATATGACAAGTTTAATTTTCGCCAGTCGCTACTGCTTCCAATGAAAAATTATCCAAAAGACGCTCTTTTTTGTTGTTTCGCTCTCAAAATGCAACATGTTCATATTTTCAGCAAAACGTGTTAAGTGCAGAATTCGATAAACGACATCAAACCGCATCATCTGATTAAAAACAACCATCTTATTTTCTACAGACTCGTGATTGTTCTCGGTAAAATTAAAAATAATTGTTGTAATTCTTAAATAAAAAAGGCCAAGAAACAGTTTTTTAACTTCACTGAACAATTTGATAAAATACACGTATCACATTTTGAGGGCGCAACCACGATATGTGATAAGAAAAGAACTGGTTTATTATAGTACGATCATATTTGATGCAAATTAATAAATCATTGCCTGTCAAGAGATCTAGTGCAGTGCGGTTTTAAGGGGTTTAGAAATTGAATAAGTTCTTTATGCATTATGAAGGGATGAAGGGATCAGTTCACATCTGGCACTCCTGTTCCTACAAAAATGGCTTTATTTACATAAACTATTTATTTTAAATATAATTTATTATAAAACCAATTTGTTTTTTAAATTCCTCATATGTACTACATTTTTTCCTCTGTACGCGTCTCTGTTAGTATTTGGCGTATAACCAACCACACTCGATCCATCTGGGCGATTACAGCTACTACCAGAACACAGTATGCATGTGGCAGTATTTCAGATTTTACATTCAATGTATTTTAGGACATATATTTATAGGAAGTTTTTTTAGAATGATCTGAGAAATTGTCTAGTACAGTGGTTCTTAACGTTTTGTTTACTGCGGACCTCCATTCAATATTTTTTTGTTGCGTCTCAATTTAAATTGGTTTGAAATATTAATTCTAAATTGCACATCAAACGTAAATTCTGGAAACATAAACAATAAGTTACACTCTGACATAAGAGAGTGCATTTTTTTAATTAGTTGTTAGTAGTGAATAAATGTTTCTAAAAACTTTGTGGACCTTTTGGAAGGGTATGGCAGACCCTGGGGGTCTGCAACCCACAGGTTAAGTACTACTGGTCTAGTATCTATGTTCTTAATTATTTTGCGAACACTGTTTGCTGATAGAAATTCCTTCACTGTGGCACAATCAGTTAACATTTTTCTTGAAGGCGATGCATTTTTAGTAACTTCTGTAAGGTTTTTTTTGTGAAAAGGAATTTAAATTATATGGGTTCAAATTACTAGCTTTGGCCTTACGGGCCCTACAGATTTCGTCCCATTCATGCGAACAAGACCATACGGACCAAATTGCGCGAACTAAGAAAATCAACGTATTTAACCGAAACAAATTTTACATGATAGTGAAACCGTGCCACTTTTTTCTCCACACACTGTGTATTTGGCAGATTCGTGCGGTACAATTCCCATGAATTGAATGAACTCTTTAGTATTGTTATGATTTTAGAGAGAGAAAGTATACTGTCTACATCGCTAAGAGTTAGTTTTCATAAACCTTTAAGCAGAGAATGCATTAGGCGGTTGTGGTCCCGTCGCATTGCGGTCCGTGCTAGTCTCGATCGCGCGCGGTTGAGTTCCTTCCCATGTTTTCTAATGTATGCATTTGCATTAGATGAGCTTGTCACGCTTGCATCACGTTCTCCACCAATCTTTTCCAAAGAATCTCGGGAGACCGCGATGCGATCGAGACGAGCTTCCTCTTCCATATAACTCATTTTTTAATTACTAAAACAATACCTCAACTATTTAGAGAAGAGCGCAAGCAGGAATGTGTACGATTGTCAAATGCGACTGATTTTGTAAAAGACCGCGATCAGCCCAGCCCAGAACGGACCGCGATGCGACGGAACCGCGACCGCCTAATGCGTTCTCTGCTATTGTGACAATATAGAAAACCTAACCCCAAAAGGTTGTATTCTAAATATCAACGAAAAAAACAGGAGTTAACGATCTCTATGAAGTAGTTGAAAATTTCATAAAAAAATTGCCTTATTTATTGATGTTCTATCAGCCCCTATATTTACTGCATCTATTTTCAAGATATCTTGTATAATAATAAAAAAGTTCGAATTTATTGGAATAGTCAGAAGTAAATTTAAAATTTTTAAGAAAGCATTCTAAGACATGAAACGAAACCATTTGCACCCTTTTAGCCTTCATCTTCCCAAGGACAAGAAAGTGCGGGAAACTGCATTGTCGAACTACCATTTCCATTAGCATTTCAGACATCTTTCCGTTCATTCCATCTCACGCTAGAATTCCCTCTCTAAAAACGCCTTCTCTTCAAGGTGGACCGTGACAAGATAGCGAGTCTGATAGAGGAGTCGTTGCAGAACGCCTCGGGCCACAGCAGCCCGACGCACAGCTTCCAGACGACGATAACGACTCTGCCCGCGCTGACCACCGCCCCGCCGCCCGTCATAAACTCATTGCCTCCGCTGACGACGGTCAACACCGTGCCCACTCAAGTGCCCATGCACTCCACCAGTTAGTAGTCAGCCTAGAAACTGCCGTCGATGCACCCTGTCGCTCCTAGTGATACACAGAGACAGTGTTATCGTAGACTGGTTCCCATTTCTTTCGTAGGATGACGCGGGCGAGGAAAAGAGGGAGAGAGAGAGCACGGGCGATGCTTTTTTTTAATGCAAAGTCGCCACGCTCCGCCACGCCCCGCATACCTTAACATTTAGGCTTACGATGGCTTGTGATGTTTGAACCGACGCCGGAATAGTCTATGGAGCCGGAATTATTCTGGTAGATAGCGAGAAGGCTCGAGAAGACTGTTAGTAATGTTTGGACACCGTCGCGCTAGTCATGTGACCACGTGTTATAATCTGTGATTAGAGCTCCATTGACGTAAAAAAAATCGAGCACCGGACTGTTAACATATATAGGTTTTCATATTGTATGTGATCTGTTTTAAGGAAAATAATATGTTTTATAAGAATACGCAAGTCTGCTGTATTTAGATGGGCAACTTATCAGTAAAATTTCTCCCTTCACCCCCTTCGCAGAGCACGGGACTCTTCCGGTAAACGCGAGATTTAACTGGTTCTCGATGAACGGTAAGTCAAAATCAATGTGATTTAATTAAGATATTATTAACATTTCTTCTGAAATTATTTTCCCCTTTATTTTTGTTTCGTTTTACAAATTTTTTTTTTTTAATTTTTTGATATTAAACTACAGGGTGATTCAGTTCAGTACATTCACATGGAAACCTTGGACACAGTGAGAGATATATACAGTTGATTAAATTACAAAAAAGCTGCTCATAATAATTACTCTTGAATGATGTTTTTATTTTTTTTTATCTTTTAAATGTCGAGAAAAATTGAAATTCATGAAAACTACGTTTTTTTTTTTAATAACAAATATTAAAATCTTTATATTTTTGTGTATTACATAAATTACCACCTGACATTGACTGGTGATATTGAAATTTCCTTAAACCTAGATTTTGACTAACGATAATTAACCTTTTTTTTAATTTTTTTTCTTCCACATAGATTTTTCACATTTTTGATTAATCGTTTAAATTTTTTATGTGTCGTTTTGTATTTATAGTAAAATTTGAATAAAAACATTATCTTGCACAGTTGACGATGGCCAGTGTTATAACTACAAAAATTATGAAAGCGCCAGCGCCAGAAATTCTAAGTTTCTAATATACCGGGTGACTCATTTTAATCGACGCACCCGCATATCTCTGTTGCTAAGCCGAATAAAAAAAAATGTTCTGAAAAATGTTATTCAGGACAAAGGGGGTCATCTAACTGCAGTAATAACTTTGACCTTGGTGTCAATTTTCGAGGTAATTTGAAGGTCGAAGGTATTTTTTTAAATGGGAAACCCTATTTTTGACGCCTGATTTGGAGAGCGGGAAATTTTACGACCAGAATGGTAGTTTAACAATTTTTAGAGTGACCTAGAAAATCAAAATCAAATCAAGGTCAAATATTGAAAATTCGTCCAAAAGCTGTTTTTTCAAATTCTTGGTGGTTTAGTAGGCTTAGGGGCCAATGACTGACCGTTTTGACTTTAGTGTCAAATATGAGTCATTTAGAAGCAGTTTTATTAAAAAAAATTTCACTTCAGTTCTTAATCTAACTTTTAGCGTTACCCAGAAACAACGACGTGGACGTAGTAAGTTCTGTTTCCTTTGGGGTGCTTGTCCAAGAATTCGAAAAAACAGCTTTTGGACGAATTTTCAATATTTGACCTTGATTTGACCTTTTCAAGGTCACTCTAAAAATTGTTAAACTACTAATCTGGCCGTAAAATATCCCTCTGTTTCCGAATCCGGCGTAAAAAATTGGGTTTCCCATTAAAAAAAATACATTTGACCTTCAAATGACCTTGAAAATTGACACCAAGGTCAAAGGTATTATTGCAGTTAGGTGACCCCCTTTATCCTGAATAACTTTTGTTTCACCATTTTTTTTTATTCGGCTTAGCAACAGAGATATTTGGGTGCGTCGATTAAAATGAGCCACTCGGTATATTGTTACAGTTATTTAAATTCCTCCGAGTTACAAAAAAAAATAGAGCATTCGAGAGGGCTTAACGATGTGCTTCTTTTTTTGTATTTTAATTAACTGTATCCTATCGATTTTAAGTGAATCACCCTGTATAATATCTGACATTTTGTTAATTTATAGAGAAATAAAGCAATTTAGTTTTACTCAAACCAGAAAAATTATATTTGTTTTGTTAAAAACTTTCTTTTATCATTTCAATAAAAAAAAAACTCGATATCTTTACGATAACTAAAAGATTTTTTAATAAAAAAAGTTTACCGCAAGTAGTTCCAATCTGCCGATGATAATTGTTCTCGATAATTTAACCCGTCAAAATCCGTTTCCGTGCCCTTTTTAAGTTTTATTGAGAAGTTGTCGCGCGGTACTACATACATAATTTTAGCTTCCGTTCCTCCTGTATAAGTAATTATCCAAATACTCGTTGTCGCAAATATGTATTATTGTTTGCCCCTTTGAGACTGATGTAACATTTTTTAAAGAAAATTATTAGGCTAGAGGGTAGTAGTATCAGGACAGGACCAATCGTACACGTTGAATGAGACGTTAGGTTCGATCGATGTGCGCAACTGGGACGCTCTAACCGACGAGCCGGGCCGGTTCCCATCCACGCCCCCCCAACATACATCGATCAAATCAGTTCTTAGTAGGCCTATTCTAGGAGTTTCACCCGCAGTTCTCGCCTATAGTGCCGCTGGGGGGTCGGCGATCGGAACCGACGGGCTCGTGCACACGAGATTCTGTTGTCGTCCGACATGCATTTGGAAAAGTGTCTAAACAGTATTTCCGTAATTTCCTCGAAAATTTTGCTGCCTTGATTGAATTTGTGTTTTCGTAGTGTGAAATGCAACCGTTAGTTTTTATCAGCCGTTTCAGTGATTGTGTGGATTTCTCCGTTTTCCAAGTCGTGTCGAGCGCATTATACCTAATAAATAGTTGTAAATAGTTTAATTATAATAGCCTTGTATGAAATTGTAGATAATGAATTTTTTTATTGAAGAAAATGTAGGAATAAGTATATATTATTTATTATAAACATTTAATTGAGTTAAGGAAGAACTCCCCTCCAGAGAACGTTTTTAAAAGGTCGCTGAGCTTCGAAATTTATTACAAATATCAGACGACAAAAAATTTTCAGGAATTGTTTTCAAATTAAAAAAGAATAGTTTTAAACTTTGCATTTGCCGACTTGAACTTGAATTCGCACGTGAAACGTTTAGAAAGGTTTTTTGGAGGTGCGTTAGAGGTCCCTTGTGATATTTCGCTCAAAAAATAGTTTGGCTGATGATTAACTCATAATAATACGTATTACGTTTAGTTGTTTTTTTTTATCATTTTACGCCAAAATTTTAATATAACTTTAATTATTTTCATCGATAATGTTAAGTAAAAAAATTGTAATATTATTTTGGTATAAAATGGTGAACCGTTTCACTATCTTCTGCTTTTTAAATACACTTCATACTGTAATAAGAAATATTGTTCTTCCTTAGATATGGAACAGAACATGCAGAGTACTTTTTGTTATCATTGTTTGAAAGCATTTTAATCGTTATTTATGAAATAAATTATTTTATTTTTAAAATTATTTATTACTGTATGTCGATTTGCAACTGGAAGTTGCAAATTCAAGAGAAGTCTTGGTGTTATCGTTACTTGCTGCGTTCCTTGCAGGACACCTAAGATTCAAGTTGTAAGTATGACAATGTTCCAAGGTAAGCCCTATTTTTTTCTCTTAAATATTTTCAGTTTTTTATCATGTTAATTAAATTATTTGTTAATTTAAATTAAAATTTTTACACTCGTTTATATCGCAAAGTATATTTTGAAAAATAAAATAATTTTTTTAATTGTCTGACAAAATTTCAAGTTTCTTTTTAAATGATCCCTATTAATTACGAAATTTACCTATTCCGCTTACATCATAGTTCTCAAGTTCCCGTTTAATTGTACTTAAAAGTGAATCCAAAGTTGTGAAGATTTGTGGTTCAATTTTGTTATGGTGATCAGATTAAACGTTAGAAATATTTTTAATACACGAAGAAGTACTCATTTTCCACAAGGTGAATCCTTTCTTAGCTTCAGGGAATGAAACTATGAAAAGGTGCGTAATACAGTATTATTGGATTTTGATTTTTGTCTTTAACAAATTATACTCTCTGCATGTTTGTTCGAAGTAGATTGCTCACATTGAGCAGCTGTATAGGAGACTCATTAAGATGCTAATGGGATAAGACTTTGCATTTATAGCTTCTGCCAAAACACATGTTTCGCTGTCCTGAACTGTAACGTAAATACTCCACTTATTTCTGCTGTTTATATGGGGCACTTGTCAAAACAAAACCTAAAAAGGCATACTGTTGAATTTACCAAAAAAAATTATCCAAAATATCAAAATTTTGTCGTAGAGTTAGGCGAGAGATTTTTATGGAATTTTCAAAATTTTATATTGAGAATGCCTATACCACACGTTTAAGTTAGTATTTTCAAACTGGACATTCGGTTGAGTGACAAAATATGCTGTGAATATTTAGATTTAGATATTTTTGTTAAAACAAGTTTTTTGCAAGAATCAGAAATATTTTACAATTAAGGACATCTTTGAGCTTTTGAACTACTTCTTAGATATTTGGATATTAAAAACAATATCGATATAGCGAAAATCTAAGATTTTGGAGAAAAATCTTTAAATAAAGTTAATACTACTATATTTTCTCGATTTTTATTTATATGTTTATTATACAGGGTATAGCAAAAGTACCGGAACGGCAGAATAACTCGGCGGGAGAGCATTTTAGAGAAAAATGTTATATACAAAACTTTCAGGATTTCTCCCTGGCTATCCTATGATGACCTTGACCTTGATCTTGACCTTGAAGATCATTTCAAGATCAAATGTGATTTTTCAAATGGGATCCTATAATGTTGACTCCAGAAATGAAAAGAGCAAACTAACAAAAGTACAGGAACGGCAGAATAACTCGGTGGAAGATTATTTTAGAGAAAAATGTGAAATACAAAAGTTTCAAGATTTCTCCCTGGGGGCCCCAAGGTCGAAAGGGAGATGGGTCACTCAGGTCATATATGAATGTAAAATTTCCGCTCTTCATTTCTGGGGTCAAAAGTATAGGGTTCCATATGAAAAATCACATTTGATCTTGAAATGATCTTCAAGGTCAATGTCAAGTTCACCATCGGATAGCCAGTGAGAAATCCTGAAACTTTTGTGTTCAACTTTTTTCTCTAAAATGCTCTCCCGCCGAGTTATTCTGCCGTTCCGGTACTTTTGCTATATCCGGTATATATGGCTTAAACAAAATTAAGGAGTTCTTGCAAAAAAATATTTTCCTATAATTGTTTCTACAGTAGCACATATTAAGAACAATATTGCGTGCATATGTGATTTGAAAATATAAATATTTTTTTCATAATTGTCGACTTCAACATATTTTCTTTAAATATGATATTCTTCCTTTTCAATTTTATAAAAGTTTAGCCTTGTGCTTAAATGTTTCAGTGTTAATATTTTCAGGCTTCATATACAGAAAAAAGTGCAAAAAATTTAGGGGGGTGGTTCTATTAAAAAAAGTATTGGGACAATCTTTAACACTTTTTAAAAATTCAATATTGTTTTTTTTTTAATTAATATTTTGCCATAATTTATTCTTTAAGTGTGTCTTTACGTGTGTAAGTGTGTAAGTGTACTTTTGAAAGTTTTACTTTTATTGTTGATATGAAACTGCATAAAAAAAATCAATAAAATTCTGAAGCCTTAAAAAGCCTCATGTAATCTTATTCTCTAAAAAATTTAACTTTTTATTTGAAATTCTTCAAAAAACCAAATATTTTAAAAATTTGATTTAAAAAAATTCATAAAATAACTACTTTTAATTTGATAACAACCGTTTTAGAGAAAAAATGAACTTAAAGTTTTGAAAGATACATTAAAAAACAGCTAAAATATACATACATGCAACAGGATTTGATTATAAAAGAAAATTATGTTTTTATATGTTGTAAGTATTAAAATCCGTCAAATAACTTTTACCATGTCATTTATTAAATTTGTGAAATTTAAAATAATAATATCTTCGTTTGGATCAGTGACAGCTCGTAAAAATTAAAGTGATTAAATTCACTGTGGCGTAGAAATCATCCCCTAAAAAAGGTTATGGGTGCCATACGTAAATATCCAAATATGCCTACATTAATTTTCACGAGCCTGAGTTGGATAGAACAGATAGTCTCAAAGATTCTAGAGAACCTTTTTGTATAGTTTTTTTTTAATGATTTACCCTTACATATTAATGTTACTTAAAAAAATTACTCTTAAATGAGTTTCTGGAAAAGTGTCGTAGGAACTTTTACCATTTATTTTTTTTTATATATAGTACCATCCTCCCCTAAATGGCGAATAAGAAATAGATATGATCTGTAAATTTAAAAATAAAATCTCATAATATTGACACTTTTTTCTCTTTCTTCTCCGTGTTATAAAACTTGAATTTAAAAATTACGCATATATTGTTCTTAAGGAACTGGAAAAGAAAAAAAAAAGAAAAATTCATATTCAACGTAGGAGTTTAGTGGATGTGTACCTTCCTTTTGGATAATTTCCTCGACTTTTAGGTTTTGTTATATTCTTGTAGCGAGTCATATAGTTTTGCAGATATTTTTTATTATCATTTATACTGTTAAGAGTATATTATGTTAATTATTATAGCTAGACACATTTTTAAAGAATGGTTGTATCTAAGTGGTTTATTATACGTTGATATATTTTATTATTTCATACATATTTTAAGTTATCGTTTGTATTATAGTACTGTACCACAGGCTGTCTATCTGTATACCTTATTTAAATAAATATGCAATATGGCCAATTTTATAATCCTTGTATGTTTTTTCTTTTTACGTATTTAATCCACTTTTGATGTGACTGAGTTGAGATGCCATCAAAAAATGTTCAATAAAAAATTTAAAAAACTTCTCTATCTTCTCGTTTATTTTTATAGTGCACTCATGAGAAAAATATTAAAAACAAATATGTATGAACAAAAAGTCTAAAGCAACGTGAATGCATTATACTCGAAATCTGATTGAAAGTATAAATTACAGATTTCCGTAATACCTACTAAAGATCCCTGCAAAACACAACAACAACAATCATAACCTACCAAACAATCAAAAACCGTTAATTTTTAAATTCAAATCTTATTGCATTTTGGCAGATTGTAGTTGTGTTGAAATTTTGAATATGGACGTTTTTAACACGCCTGTAAGGAGAAAGACTGCCGTTGACCAAGTTCAAATTCCTGCTTCACCTTTTCTGAAGAAAATAGGCTACGGAACAGGTAAATTTTTGTTGAATGAGGTTATGTTCCTACTCATAAATTCTCTAGGTGTTGCAGTATATGAAATGGTAAGGTCTCCCGTTTACTGCAAATCTCGTTCACCTTGGGCTGTAAAGAAACTCGTTCACAAACAGAAGAATAATGTAGAACTTAACAAACGTATCAAAGAAGAAGCTGATGTCCTACGACAGCTAAAGCATCCAAATATCGTAGCTTTTAAAGCTTTTGCGAAGGACGCTGATGGTAGAAACATTCTTGTTATGGAGGAATGTTCTAGTTGCCTGGGTGACATGATAGAAAATCGCAGCTCTCCATATTCTGCGAAGACTATTGTTCAAGTTATGAGAGATATGGCTACAGCTTTGCATTATCTCCACAATGAAGCTTTAATGATGCATTGTGATGTGAAATCTTATAATATTTTGGTGAAGGGTAACTTCACTATTTGTAAACTATGTGATTTTGGAATCTGCTTACCCGTAACCAAAAAAGGAGAAGTGGATTTAACAAAAGCAGGCACAGAGGTAGAATATGTGGGCACAGCTGCTTGGTCGGCCCCTGAAATCTTAAAATATCCTCAAGAAATAACAACAAAGGCAGATGTGTACGCTTTAGGACTCGTTATTTGGGAAATGATTGCTTTAGCGCCTCCCGTCGATGAAGAATTTGTGAGCAGTTTTAATTTGAGTTTTGATGATTCCCAAGTTAGTATAAATACAATTGACAACACATTAGAGTCATCTAATGTTGAAAATCTTAGAAGTAGGCCTCCTTTGCCCAATATTGACTTAAGTACGGAGTACAATACTGTTCTAGAAATTTTTTATTGTTGTACTGATGTTGAAAGGGATCAGAGGCCTACTGCTGAGGATATAATGGTAATTTTACAAGAAGCAAACAAAAATGTTTGTTGTAAATAGTCTCAAATTAAATTTTTTATGTTTTTTTAATCTATGCAAACGGTTGCTTAAGTATGTAGTTACATAATAATACATAAATAATTTTAAAGTGTTGTATCATCTTAGAATTTATTCCAACACATCATCTCATCTAGGTAGTGTACAAAAGTTTGATAATTGTTTCATTTCTGTGATGTGTAATTTTAATTATAATTTGAATTTGATCGCCTCTGTTAGTAAGTACAAGCAAATTATTATTTTTTTAGAGTAAAGTGACCATAAAACATTCTTCAATAACTCATATGCTAATAACACTAATGTACCAAATAGCTAAGTAAGTATGTGCAAAGTTCATATACACCTATGAACTTTGGTATGTGTGACTAGCAATGCCCAGTTTAGTAAGTTGCGTGAAATTATTGTTGCTGTCTTTGAATGGTATTGGTATTGGTGTGACTACTATTTTTTATTGTAAAAAAAACTAAAACGCAGAATTTCTTCGACTGCATTCAGATCACAAATTTGTTGTCACTTATTTGCTGTATTTTGTATTTCCAACACGCCTGGTTTTAAAAAATAGTATTTGAAAGGTTTATATTATATTTTATATTTATTTGCTTGGATTTGCGAATTTTCTATTTTAGTTGCGGATTTTTTAAATTTCCTGTGTTCAAGGATTTGGTGGCTAAAAAAGAGATATCATGTCATATTTATTAAAAAACTTATTTTGTTTTTCAAAAATATATTAAAATTAAACTATTTACATGACTGTTTTTGTAACTTGGTCCTGACAAATTTTTTTTTATTAATTTGTGATAGAAAATCCACCATTAAAGTTTGGCTAGGTGTTATATACACATTACATTACACATTACACCAGATATGTATATACCTACAGCTTGCCTAGATGTTGAAGATCAAAGCTGGTTTCTGCGAACGTTAACTATATTAGGATTCCAAAATTATAAGCAGGGGCTCATTTTTCAACATTATATTTATAGAATAACAAATGTGATTTTGGTTAAAACTATATTATTCTTACAAATCTACACTCGCCTTGGTATCTCCAAATATCCAACATGTAGGTACTTATTTATTTATACTAAAATATGTATTCAGCAATATTTATTTATGTGCATAATTCACATACTATTATCACGAATTAATTGTCTCCTGCCGAAGAACTTTACATCTAATTTAAAATTTGTGTTATTTGGTCCCACATAAGCTTTTATATTCATTCAGATTAGTTCAATGGGGTTCAATTCACAGTAGTATGGTGGCAATTGAAGAAATACATGACTGCAGGCCTTAGTTGTTTCATTCTGACACACTTTTGTTAAAGAACTGCACATTTTCAGGGCATCACTTACTGACAAATTCGCATTCCTTGCTCGAATTCCCATAATATCCCGAATAAACATTGTTTATCATACAACATTCTTGATTGCATTTTAAAAAATGTACTAGAATAACCAAAATGAGAAAAAATAACACATTTTTTCCATTGGCGCGCATATAACATGAACAGAAATGCGTAAGTTAGAAACTGATAAATCAGGAAATAAGTTATGCAGTGGCTGGTTGATAAACAAAACATATGAATTTCCATTCAAAGATTACACAAATTCTTTTGTCATATTCAGAACTTGTGAAAACTCTGGTTTGATTTATTTATGATATTTTATTGCATACCATTTTGGAACTCTAGTGTAGTAGCAAAATAAGAGATAGAATTAACGTAATGATGAGAAATTGTGTATTCTTGGATGCTAGATTTTTCAGTTTTATTTAATTTTGGCTCCGAGTTTGCTTACTTTGCGTTAATTCGGTTTTGAGACTTTGTAAAAAAATATTGAAATGCACTGTAACAAGCATCAGATATTATTTAAAAATGTAACTGCCGAAATTCAAAATCCGAAAAGAAGGGACGTGATATGGTGCAGAATATAAGCAAAAAAGCACACAAGCATGTTCAGTATTTGACTAATGTATTCTTCACCAGTCTTAAGTGAGTTACTCTTACGTTTTGTTCCACAAAATCAACCAGATTCCCATCTCTATGGTAGATAGATATGGTACATTATCAGCTTGTTTTGAAACTGTGGTTGTGCCATTTATTGCTATGTTTATATCTACTAACACTTTCACATGCAAATTTTGGGAATTGAAAAAACTGAACTCAAAACAGAACAATGATTTAAATTGTAACGAGCATTTACATGCAGTCAATCATGTCAATAATAAATTTTAAATTTAAAAATAGATTAACTGATGAGTATATTAAAATTTACTATATAATGCATACACAAGACATAAGTGTTATAGTTGTTACGATATAAATTGGAACTTGTGAATCTTAAAGCATAGGACCATCTGCACTTCTCTTGAAATTTCTTCCTATGCTTTAGCCATGATGTGTCTCTTAATTTATACTCGAATAGCCATTGGGCGAGTCCAGTATTGGTAGACCAGTCCGCCTGTTGTAGAATTGATGGGGGGCGATGGTCGTCAAAGCAAATCTGTATTTTTCCACTAGGTCGTAAATAATTTTTTGCATGGTATTCTATAATTAGTTTGGTGTCGAACGCGGTTTACTTGGCTTTGCCAGTGCAGTGGAGTGCAGTGCTTGGCATGGTACATTGATTGTTGGTATAATACGTATTATTAATTATTAGTTAATATTAATATTTGTTCATATGGTAACCAGTAAAGGGTAATAGTTATTAAAATAAATATTATATGTAATTATCTAGTAATTTAGCACATAGGCTCCGACTTCTCGGGTGCTCCGGGGCGCAAGCACCTGACAAAAGTATTTGTCAGGTGCGGAGCACCCGCAAGAATTATTATCAGTTTTGTTAGAATAGTATATTTCTGTGCTACCTACTTTTACGTCTACATAGTACATATATTTATATTTTCACATAGAAGTTTATTTTTTTAAATTATTAAGATTGTCAAATTTTTGAAATTTGTATCGGAACAGTAATAAAGTTAATTTATTTTGACAAGTTTAATTAATTTCGATATATTTTTTAAAAAGTTTTTCATAAAATTTAATTTGGAGAAATACGTATTTTAAATCTTTTACTTCATGCTATTTCAAACGACGACTCATTTCTCTTGCTTTTTAATGTTATCTGGCAAAAAAATGCTTAAAGGCAACCGAGCACCCGACAAAAGTTTTAAAAGTCGGCGCCTATGATTTAGCATGGCTTTCTGGAGACCCTTTGAAACGGAAGATATCGAAATAACCCGGGAAAATCCCCAAATAGTCGAGCCGGTTTTTGTCGAAAGCGTTGAAACAAACTCAAAACTTTAGATTTACATGTACCAAGTCAACGTTTTATTTTACATATATATGAATGTTTGAAAAGTTATTAATCGCGGTACAAAGAAGAAACGGAAAAATACTAAATTAAAGAATATTGACGATTTTACCAGAGATGTAATATGGCGCACAATTTATAATATAATATGTATAAAGAAAATAAAGTTCTTACTTGATTCGAGATAAATTAAGCTATTATCCTGATTATAATTATAGACCTTTGGATACTTTACGACATGTTTTATTACAATGCAGTTTTAAACATAAAAAACTTGACAATCATATGGTAATTATGGAATCACGACGTATAGTTGCACTTCGAGATTATTTACAAAAAATTCGAGAATATCGTCAAAATTATTTGCTTAAACTGATGTAATAGGATAATAAAAGTGGTAAATGTAGTAAACGGTAACGATAAATGCATAATTAGTTAGATCTGAAGGTGTTGATTGCAATTAGGGCTTGCAATCGCGGTATACCCAAATCCCGAAATACTGAGATCCCGCACCAATTTTTAAATATGCGGATCCCGTTGTGGATTGCGGGATCCCGGGATTGTGCACAGTTTCTTCTCACCTTCGCGTCCGTTTGGCGTCGTTGATTTCACACGTGACCCGACCACGACGCAAAAAATAATTTTGTTTTCTTCTTTGTTAGTGGTGGTAGTCTGCCACAGAATAATTAACGTATATGTTCTAGACTTCTAGAGGAAAGTATCTAGAACTAGCTATATTTGTCTAAAATCTGTAACCCCAACACAAGTGTCGAGGCAGAGAGAACTTTTCCTGCTGCCGATTATCTAGTAAATGACATACGGAGGTCCTTATCAGACCACAGTGTAAATATATTGTTTTCTTCCGAGATATTTTCAGCAAAACCAATAAATAAAAATAAACAATTTTTTCAATTGATATTAATTTCGTTATTTTATATTAAATACATATCATTTTGTTTATGTTGTACATCTTAAGCTGTGTTGGAGTGCGTAATACAGCCTAATCTGCATAATTATTTATGTTTGGTTTTCAAAAAAGAACTCTTTTTGGTATATTGAAAATAAATGATAGAAGTTTAATTTTATACTTGTTTTATTTAATACATAAAAAATATGGGTATTATACTATAATAAATCATATTATCGCGGGATCCCGTTTATACCGAGATCCCGCGGGATTTTAACGTCAAGTGCAGCAAATACTGGGATTTTAAATTCATTGTGGGATTGCAAACACTAATTGCAATGTCCCCTGGATCCTAACGGCCTACAAAAGTAAAAATTTGTGGGCAAATATTAGCCCTTACCTTCTCTTATCTGTTAGCTGCTAAAAGCTCAATGACGATCTGATCTGCCAGTGCGGCCACATCTTAAAGCATATACTACATGGAGAAAGCATCACATGTGTGAATGCTGTAGAGAGAAAAGGCGAAAATTCGTGTATTCGCTCTTTCTCTCTCTAATCGTTGAGTATGTACTACAGCTAGATAGTACCCGAACTATCTCTTTCTCTCATGTACACTGTCGCAATAAGCATGCTTCCTCCATGTAGTATTTGCTCTAAGGGCCACATTGAAGGTCTAGGCCAGGGGTCGGCAACTGGCGGACCGCGGAAGGTAAAAAACTGGACCGCCAAAAATTTTTTGAGCATTACCCAAATTATTTAAAAAATATTTTTCTATAGATAACAATACGTTTGAGTGCCACTCTTGTCATTTTTTAATGGTTAGTAGGTCAGTAAAAAAACTGACTCAAGACTGCAAATGTAATTCCTCCCATTGATTTTTGAATACAAATATGTCTATCTATTGTATTTGATATTATTTCGTGAGTGCAAATTAAAACAAAAAATGAGTAAAGAATATGATTTTTTTCTGGACCTTGTTAAAAATTTTCAAAAGAATACGGACTCCGTCTAAAATTACTTGCCGACCCCTAGTCTAGGCATTAAGTTGTAGTGACCATTCATAACAATATCATCGGTTAAAAATTTACTAATGTCTCATTTTGTTGCAAGTGAAAGGCAGTAAAGGATCTTAGTAAATATCTGTATTCTTTCACTGCTTAAAGCGTGTACGCATGCCACTTCTCCACCCTCACACTAAGTTTGGTTGTTGCTTTGACAAATATTTAAGAAGTTACTAATATTCGAGCATTTGTTTTTTTTTTAGCTTAGTCTTTAGGCTTTTCTGGTAGTCGTCAACGGTTGAACAATTTTCAGGTTGGTCGCCAAACCGTTGGTGTAGAAACCTTTACATATCGAGACACTCCTTCTCTTCTGCAGCAGAAGCTCTGGAGATTAAGGTCCTCCAACTAGTATTTATATTGGTTGTGTATTGATTTCTTGATTTTTACCAACAGATTTTTTCCAAATTCTAGGTAGTTCTAATCAATCAAGATGAGAGGTTTAAACTACTTGAAATTTGGAAAGGACTCATCTACAGCAATTAAGGACCTGATAGACACAGCATCAGTGACTTGACTTCAAAGCCATGTGTCGAAACATCAGGGATCAGTCACACAGCTAATATAAAGTCAGAGGAATTAATCTTCACTTTCTTCTTCTGAGGAAATTGATGTATCTCGAAACGGTAACAAGTCTAAACTAGCAACGTGCTAACCAGCCTAGAAACCATTTATTTAACTGTTAGCCTGTTGCATTCACTCGCAAGTGGTGATTTACCTGCGCTTGATGGGAGAACTTTGTGAAACCACACTGCACAGTGAAATGGCTTGTGAAATGAGCCATATAGCGACATTGCGGGTCCCCATTGAATGACTAGTAATGAGTTTGCATTATTTTTTCACGTATAAAGTCTCTTTACAAACATTAGCAAACACTTCATTCGTAAGTATTTACATGTTACATATGGATATCCATAATAATGAAATAAACCCCTTTTTTCATGTATAATATATATAAAATTTTATTTAATATATGTACAATATAAAATAAGAGCATATATACATAATAAAACTGGATAATATTATTATATAATTAAAAATGGCAAAAATGCCTAAATTCAATAAACGTATACGTACAATGCAAAAACTTATGAACACTCGATAAATTATTAAGTCACTTATAACACCTAACTTACAATATTTACACTTTCGTCCCGTTCTGCTCCCCGATCGTAACCTGCGTTATGAATGGACCGCGATGGGCGCTACCTCTGCCCGTCGGGTGCCTGCCCTGCACCACTGGTTGATTACGGGGCAAAGAGTTGGAATTTGCATCCTGGTAAATGGGGGGAGGCTGCTGTTGGGGGGTGTGCGAGACGTTTGGGCGGGCCGATCTGCTGTTTAGGACGGATTGGACGCTTTCATACTCGTAGTAGTTGGAGACGGGTCGAAGTTGGTTGTCGGTCCTCGTCTGGCGCTGCGAGTGGTACTGGTGTTGTTTCCGACTGACAAAAAAGATTATATTTAGATGTGAGAAAATAAAATTGTGGAAGAGCCTGCGCAAACAGAGGAGACTTGGCATAATCGTTCGTCATGGATGAGACCGGCTTAACGAAAACAATACAAATGTAAGCAGATGTCTAGATCTTTGACTCGAGTCCACACCGAATCTCCTTTATCTGCACCCGAGTTAACAAAAGTGTTATCCAAGCTTTTATATACAAAAAAAATCATGCAGTCAAACATCTACTTTAAATTATTCATCATTTTGTTTATGAACTCAAATATTGTAATGTATTATTTAGATATTAACAGATAACCTAAATCTTGATGTGTGTGTTGACTAGTTTTAGACTTAAAGACATAAATTCTTATCTGTGCAGAATAATTGCAAACATCTTCCATCAGAGTGGGAATGACCATATATGCATAGTACAGATAGATCCAGATTGGTCATAGGGGGTTTTCATGCACAAACGTCATAAAAACATGAATTGCATCTATTCAAAATTACTTTATATTGCCAAAGAGGTATCCAGGTCCCATATATTTTTGACCGTTCAAAGCTAAGCATATGCGAATACTTTTGCCTCTCTCTTACCGTTATCTTATAAATGAGAGAACAATGGTGAGCTTCTGTGGCAGAAAGTCAGTAGTTCCTGCCACTAGTGCTCTCTCCTAGTAATCCCTTCATAAGGTCTACTTTAGTGAATCAAAATCAATGTACAGCAATTTGGAATTTGCAATATGATTTTTTTAAAGTGTGTTAAAGTGGTCTCTACTCGTTGTGCCACCGAGTAGTACCATTCAATAGCTTGCATATGCCACTGAGTGGTGTTGCTTGGTAATGGCACTTAGTGGCCCATTTGAAAATGGCTTTACTGCAGTCACTAACTACTCGAATTTTTGAGACTATCAACTTCTATCCCAATGAAAGAAACGTATACATGTGCCGCTCGGTTAGTATTTGTTATTACTACAGATGGCAACACTGATTCATTGTTCTAAGTAAAGTTCCGGAGGTGTGGTTCTTAACCGAGTCATACGCAGCTCACTCTCCAAGTTATCATTTCTAAGTTATCATTACAGAGCCTTCATAAATGTTTACAAGTCATGTGACCACCGAGCTTAGGCAACCGATTGGTACTGGTTATGAAAATTCTAAATCTAGGCGTCGCCAATGTTAATGACTCATTTACAATGAGCAATGACAAAGCATTACGTCTATGCTTCAGATAATGCGATCGCAGATTGGTTGAAAAGTATCTTGTGAAAAATTATGCCAATCACAGCCGGTGAAACAGAACATTGTCTTTCAATGTAACCTTAACCTAACTATTTTAATAATTTTTAATTTTACCAAAATTTGATTGCCAACCTGACGGAAATAAAATTACTGTTCCAAACAAAGCTGTTCACGTGGCCTGTTATCATTTATGAAGGCTTTGTTTGCCAAAGATACCACAAATTTTAGCTGATACATGTCAGGATTCACCATTTTATATAAGTAACCTACTGTAACGCACATCCTGCTGTTCCTTAATATAACTTACTGTAGAACATTTTGTAATTACTATGTATACAGTTTTAATGAGGAATCTACAGGGAAGAGACAGACCAAGGAGGCTGTTGTCAAGTCATTTAGCAAATTGCAGAGTTAGAGCCTAGACTATTGAATAATGTGATGCTGTGCTGTAATGTAATAGAGAGATAGTGAATTGAGATCATATTAAAACTGTTTTCTAGTCATGGAAAGCTAAAAGCGGTGATTCATTGCGAAGTATCTGCACAGCAACGAAAAAGTTAGGTTGACATACTCGTTTCCCCGCATGTTAAGCAGTGGATATAAAATATTTATCTTAACCCGTTCACTGCTCCAGACGAATTTATTCGCTAAAAATTTATAGAACTCAAACTGCTCCAGACGAATTAATTCGCTTGAATTGTTAAATTGGATCAGGCTGCTCAAATATATATTTGCAAACATGCTTATTAGTGACTCGGTTGTTGCAATTGCTACAGGGAATTTTTGCGGGCAGAGCTTATAGCGATTGTGGCAATAATTTTTACTGGTAATGCCAAATATCTAGAAAATTGACAAATAACTGGAAGAAATTTTAGCGAGGAGCGATAGTAGCGACGAGTTTGCGATTGAGGAGCGTAGTGATGGATGCTTTATAATAAAATATTAATAATTAAACTAGTACAATTATTTTGAAACCTTTAAACATATTTTAATTTAATTTAACACAACATAATGTAAAAATATAAGTAGTCTAACTGCTCCAAACGAGTATATTCGCACACGGTAAACTTTTGCGCACGGTGCGGTAACTACGTTCAGACGTAGTACGCAGCGAAAGGGTTAATAAAGTGCATTATTTCCAATCTTCATATTTATTATGCAAAAAGTATTTTCTTATATTTAGCGTTACTATCTACTATTAGCCCTGGTTCAGTTTTGTCTTGTTGATGGTACAAATAGTGTTCAAAAGTTTTTAGAGTTTAAATTCTTCTGAACCTCTCTATATTATCATTCACTGTACAGAACAAGAGAGTTCATCTAATTACTTATATTACCTACAATCTGAAGGGAGCTTAGGCTACCCACGGCTAGGGAAAGAGTGTAGCCAACACTTTCAAATCTAAGAACATATACATAAACTAACTGAGTGGGGGGTCATATTTATAGAGAGGCTTCCTTTGACCTTTACAAACACGCGCCAATGTTTATATTTTCAAATTCCATCGTACTAACTTTATTTTTTTGTAACCTTTTTTTTTCGTAATTTTCACTCCTCGCCGCTGGAGAAGCTACTGTAACCTCAAATAACGGCATGCTTTAGTCTCAGTGCATGCGCAATCCCACACCATTTGCCACGAATTACTTTTGTTGAGTGGGTGTTCGCCACACAAACAGTACTTAACAAGTACCTAACCTAGCAAAAAAACTCAAGCGGTAATCAATATTAATTATAAATGAATAATTTAATATACAGGGTGGTCCGAATTTTATGCAGGAAACTTCAAGGGCAGATAGATCTCTTTAAAATAATAGCTGTTTGCCTTATAAACATAGGTCTGGAACGGCCTCGTTTTAGAGATACAGGGTGTTGAAGTTGTTAAAAAAATGTAATTTTTTGTTTATATCTCCGGAATCTATTAACCAATCTGAATAAAATTTAGTACAGATAATGTATGACAGTAGGCCTTGCATTACCTAAAATATTAGCTCTAAAGGTTCAACCAGTGGTGTACAACTGGACAGGATCACCCCTTTTTTATAAAAAAAAACCTACGCCTCTGTATTTTTTACAAGTTATTGTAACGGATTTATATTCTAATGTACAAAATATGTAAAATAGGTAACTTGAATTTTTTCCGTAAATTTCACCGTTCTCAAATTATTCATACCAATACAATCCCTTTGTGGCAGATACTTCTAACCATAATATTACAATAGTATATATCATTATCGTTAAAAGTAAGTGCAATTTGTAAGCACTTCAACAAAATTCTTTACACTTGCCGCTTTTATCTTTTTGGATTAAAAAATGTCTCAGCAACTTGGGATGAGTAAATCGAAAATTTGAAAAGTTCTACATAAACATGGTAGAAATCCGTACCATTTACAACCTGTGCAAAATTTACTTCCGGAAGATGCAGAGAGACACCTAAATTTTTGTCAGTGGTTGTTAGAGTCACAACATAATCCAGAATTCTTACTAAAAATACTTTGGATCGATGAAGCTACGTTCAATCCTCATGAAATTCGAACAAGATCTTTTCAAGAGGAATTTTCTGTGAAAGTGTGGCTCGGAATAATTCGCAATAAAGTTTGTGGACCTTTCTTCTTGCTACCATCCAAATTCCCAATAATTTCTAAACTCTCTAGAAAACCATCTATTTGAATTATTACTTTCAAGCATAAACATAAATATTCTTTTAATATTATGGTTTGAAATATCTGCCACAAGGGGACTATATTGGTATGAATAACTTGAGAACGGCGAATCTTAGGGAAAAAATTCAAGTTACCTTTTTTACGTATTTAATGCATTAGAATATAAATCCGTTACAATATGTTGTAAAAAATACAGTGGCGTAGGTTTTTTTATAAAAAGAGGGCGACCCCTGTCCAGTTGTACACCACTGGTTGAACCTCTAGAGCTCGAATTTTAGGGAATGCGAGGTCTACTGTCATACATTATCTATACCAAATTTTATTGAGATCGGTTAATAAATTCCGGAGATATAAACAAAAAATCAATTTTTTTTAACAAATTTAACACCCTGTATCTAAAACAAAGCCGTTCCAGACCTATGTTTATAAGGCAAACACCTATTATTTTAAAGAGATCTATCCACCCTCGAAGTTTCCTGCATAAAATTCGGACCACCCTGTATAATGAGTAATCAATTATAAATGAAATACACAAAAATTGTTGTTGATGGCTTCAGGCGATAAAAAACATTCAAATTCACTATTAGATGTACTATCTCCAAATGCGGAACAATAACTGACACCCTTCCCTTTGTCACCGTTTACCGGCACTATCTCTCTTCACATGCATTGTAGATTGCCTACAATTCATGTATTTGTCAATCGTAGGGTGTCGACGGCATTCCCATTAGGTTAGGTTACCCCCATTAGGTTGTAACAGCCTATAAACGTGAAAATGAATGAATGAATCATTAAGAGCAAGAGGATCTAATTGTTGATATTGACCACAGTTTTAGGGAAGTTAAGCCATTGGCAGCCAGGGGGCAGCATAACGTAGTCAGATTTAAGCAAAGGTGCCTTAAAAAGAGGCAACTTTTTTACTTAAATTGTTTATAGTAGGGTAATAAAAGTACCATAAGTAATGAATAATAATAAATGCGTAATTTCTTAGATCTCATTGTGTGGATCGCAATACCCCCTGGATCCTAAGGGCCTACAAAAGTAAAAATTTGTAGGGAAAAGTCAGCCCTTTGACTTATCTGAGAGCGTAGCTTATAAAATCAATGTAAAACGAATCAGTATCCGTGTTGCCAGCTGTGGTAATAAAAAATACTAAGGTAGCGTCACATAAATTATTTCTATAAAACAGCACATTTAAACATTCTGGATCTCTCTGTATAACATTTTATTACTCAATTAAATACTGGGAGACTGTTTGTAATATCGACTACCTACCCTATAATAATTATTAATTAATAATATAAATTCCAAACGGTATAGCCGACGTCTTGATGATTTTTGTGATAGTCGTTTAGGATATAGTCAACCAAAACATGTTCAAGTTGAACTGCACATTTTTTAATACAAAAAAGCCCCATTTATGCATAAGTTAGTTGCAACATATTTACATGCAGTGTAATAACAAGACAGACAAACCATGCAGTTAAAAGAAACATTAAGCTATTACAAAATTAAGGATTTAAAAAAATCTCATAAGAATATTTATATTAATAGCTTGTGAAACTTAAATCTTTGATGTGCTTATTCTCATGAGAGATTTTATAAATGTTAATGGTATGTAAGCCTCTCTACTGTGTACGCCTAGTATAGTTAAAGATATTCGGATCACGGTGCATACCTTTCCTCCTCCACCTTTAACCTTTGCTGCTGAACCTGCAGACGCATCTGTACTATCTGACTTTCAGATAGAGGATCTTTGCGGCTGCCAAAATAGGACAATCACAATCAGGTAAATCATTAATCAGCTCTCAAAATAACTATTACTACTTTACTAAGTATCAATCTATGACAGAAGCAGTGTATTTTGCTGTTTAACAAAAAGTTAAGGTGGGCGCTAGAAAAGTCATCTCCCTAACAATGACTCAAAAGATTTACGACTTTTTAGATAAATTAATTTTTGTATCAATCTCCTTCAAAACACTTACGCCACCTGCCCTCAAATGTTTTTATTCTGAAGAAAATTTTGAAAAAAAAAAAAAAGATTCTTGGCAGCTTTTATCGCCTGCAAAATGACGTCCCTTGAAGTGCTTCTGACTAATAAAAAATTAAATGGAGGCAAATCCAGACTATACAATACTGGTCGAGCTCAAAAGAGTTAGTCACGGAATACGAGTTGGGCTGTGGTCGTTTTCTGAATTCATGCGTTGTTGTGAAGAAGAGCAATTTTGTAACTGAATTGGGATTGTTATTTTAGTGCTCTACAAGAATAATTTCTGCATTGTCACAGAACACGGTAACCATGAGCTTCCCAGCTGAAAATTGTGTGGGCTTTCTGATGGATACACGACCCCACCAAATATTGACCAATATTTTACTTTAAAATACAACGCCGCTGTGTCTTCATATACCCCAGTCAATTACACAGGACCACAAAAAAAAAATTAGTGGAGGGTTCGTTCAACCAGGCCAAGTGGATTATATGTTTATTGGGTTGCTGAAACCAAATTCGAAACCAGTTTTGCCCCATCACGTCAGCGTTTTTTTCTAACCTCAAAAAAACAGATTGAAACTATGAAACCCAACAATATCAACCCTCAAACCATATAACCCTAAACTTTCATAACTCAATAACCTTGAGATCGATAACTTATAATTCTAAAACCCATAACCTGAAAATCTATAACCCCAAAACTCATAAATCTCATCCCAATAAACTGCAAACACAAAATGAGCAAAAATAAAAACAAAAAACTTACAAGCTAAACTCAAACTGCAATCTTGGAAAGTTTTAACTTCATAATTCTACATCTCCATCACTTCATAACCTCATAATCCATAAACTCAATAACCCTGAAGTGTAACATAAGAAAATTGCATGTTACAATATAATATAGGGTTGGGCACCACCTAGTTGGGTGTCTTGGCCGATGGATTTCAATCGGCCGAGGTAAGCATCACGGACGCAGGCTGGAACTTGGATGGGTGACCTAAGGCAGGCTCGGGGACGTGGCTGTGGCAGCCTACTAGAGACCTGGGTCGCTCAACACCATCCACCTGCGTGTGGTTCCCGATAAAATGGTAATGAGAATAGAGCAATAAATCTCTGTAACTCAAGACCATGCTATCATACATTCAAAATTGTACGAGACTTTGCCACCAAGCCACCCATGTAGTAATAGGATGGTTTGAAGAAAAGTACTCAAGTAATGAAGGTGGGTGTACAAGGGGCCTAATAAGGCCTAAGTGCCACGGTGGAAAAGCAATTTTTCACCCCCCCCCCCCAAGTTTTTTTGTTTTTTTTTGCTCATTTTGTGTGCAGTTTATTGGCATTTGAAATTTATGAGTTTTGGAGGTTATAGATTTTCAGGTTATGGGTTTTAGAGTTATAGGTTATCAATCTCAAGGTTATTGAGTTATGAAAGTATAGGGTTATATGGTTTAACAGGGTTCATAGTTCAAAAGTAATGAAGAATTCCCTGACTTTTCCAGGTTTTCCCTGACTTATAAAAATAAAATCCAGGTCACTTGTAGTTCATTTTTACATACTAATTGGTGTTTATGCATTAAATTTTTTCTCGACTGGACTCCATAATCTTTTTTATACCCTAAGAACCTCTTATAAAGGTTTCAAAACCACAAATAGTTTTTTCTTTCAAGAACCCAGTGCCGGCTTTCACAAAATTTCCAGTTGCAAACATCAAATTCCCTGACTTTCATGAATATTTTTAAAATTCCCTGACTATTCCCTGTTTTTTATGAAGAATAACGAATTCCCTGACTTTTCCCGGTATTCCCGGTTTTCCCGGCCGCTACGAACCCTGTTTAAGGGTTGATATTGTTGGGTTTCATACTTTCAAGCTGTTTTTTGAGGTTAGAAAAAAACGTTGACATGATGGGGCAAAACAGGTTTCGAATTCGGTTTCAGCGACTCAAAAAACATATAATCCACTTGGTCTGGTTCAAGCAACCCTCCACTCATTTTTTTTTATAGCGTTGATAAAAATTTGATGACAGTGTATTTCTTTCAATTCTACAAACGAAATTAATCAAATTTATGCCAAATTTGACGTGCGTCATGAAAAAGGTTGTCGCTATTGAACGCTGTTAGGCCATACACAGTCAGTTGTTTCTATGATCGCTGGGTAGATACTTTTCTAGTACCCCTTGCAGAAAGCATAAAATAGACATTTTTTTTAATATTGATTAACGAACGTGTAACTATTCAAAAATATTTCGAAACAGTAACATAAAAAAAATTAAAAAATTGAAAATAAAACTTTTTTCTTTTTTCCATTTAACCGAAATTCTTTTCATATTTGCAATAGCATTGAGATTTTTTTTCAAATTTACAATTTGCACACAAACAAACAGTAAGACATTGTCATGCGACAAATCAATGTTAGTGACAAATGAAGTGTGCACAACAGACAGTGTCGAAGAAGGTGTGAGGACCTTTAGCCCACATACACATTCAGAGGCAGAAAGTATGGAAAACTCACCTCAGATGACTCTGTAGTTCCTTGTAGTTGACGTAATGAGTGTATGGAATGGATTCCGTGATACCCGACCTGCTGCCGGGCCTGCCATACTCAATATACTGGGGATCCCTCGAATCTGATCTCTAAAAAGGAAATAATTACAAATTGAAAAATTACAAATTATGAACAGAGTCAAAAATGTACCTGATGCGCCTGTCTGTGATCGTGGGCATCACGTTCGTCATTTTGATAATATGTGTGCCTCTGCTGATTCATTCTCAGTTTATTTAAGTCCCTCTCATTCCGTCTATGTTCGGATGAGTTCTGCCGATATTTAATTGGAGGAGGAGCTACAGAATTCTCAGGAATAACCTGCCAACACAAAAATCACAATTAGTAACGTTCAACTCATTAGAAGTGAGATAATCACTAATCAGAAGTGGGATAAATAATTCTAATTACCTGCACCTGCTCGGCGTGCCTATGTACGAAACCGTGCCTCTGATATATAGCTTCTCGCTGAATCTGTTGTTCTCTGCTATGCGGCTGATGTGAACTTTGGTGATGGTGTTTGTGGGCTATTTGCTGTTGCACACCCGGTTGCTGATGTGAATTTGCTTGGTGATGCACGTTCTGTTGCTGCTGTTGTTGCAAAGCGTTCTGCTGCTGTAAGTTTGCTTGCGGCGGCTGTTGATGAGGCGAATACCTAGGAGGTTGTTGCAGCTGTTCTTGCAGTCTCTCTGACTGGCTGCCTTGGCTTTGGTTGTCATTGTGATGCGGTTGTGTGTCATTTTCCGGTGGATTTTGTGATGGTGCAGGGTTCGCATTGGAATCGAACTCATTACTGTGATGGTAGTGCTGGACTGGCTCGGCGTTTACAAACTCCATTTTACGATGTTTGCCAAATCTAAAACAACAAAAAAAAAGTCAAAATCGATATACAGGGTGATTCACAACATATCCAAAAAAATTTGGGAATAGATGCGACATAAGAAATGGAGTCAATATCATAAAAAAAAAATTTTGTAAAATCCCTATAGTTTCCGAGAAAAAAATTATTGAAGTTATAGTACATTGAACCACTACATACTGTAGCCTCTAGCGTCATTCGCATACGCATGGAGAGCCACGTGGCGTCAGCAACTCTGAATATTGAAATCCAATTTTGTAATCGTCGTTTACAATAGTTTTTTAGTAGTTAGTGTCACAAATGGTTTGCATGTATAGCAACTCGGAGTTGATGGATATCGTTTTAATTTATGGTGAAGCAAGGCAACATTTGTGTTAGTTCATAGAAACTGAGTAAGACGGACCCAAATGTGTTTACATGTTGGTGGATAAGATTTCGAACAATTGTTGTAACATCGGACATGTCAAATGTTTTTATTATTTGAAAACACAAATTAATTAATAAAGACAAAAGCAGCTGAATCTGCCAATATAAAATAGATGCTATAAATATTCTATTTATTTCTTTCCTTGTGACAGTTTTTGTCCGTTTTTATCACACCGCCATGTCGATCGCATTGTGCAAGGTCAGGTTTTACAGTGGACCAGTTTCCAGTGCCGTGCGGAAGTGTATTTTTAAATCATTTTCGAACTGCCCTTCTTGATGTTTTCTTTACAAAATTGTATTTGTAAGGGTCCCCTGTACATCCAGAATTTTTTTTTTGGATAAGTTCCGAATCACCCTGTATACACATGATATGATCATAACTTTGGTTACAATTATCAAAATTTAAAGTTACAATGACTACAGGTCACAGTAAATAAAAAAGTCATCGTTGAAGTCACTGTTTGGAAAATAATAACAAGTTTATGACTAAACATATTGAACTATTTCAATACATTATTTTACAATAATTGGCTAAGTGATTACCTACGTATAACGTTTTGTTAGTAATTTAGTAGATTTGATTTTTAATATTGCAATTTTAAACCTTATTTTAGGATTTGCTTTATTAAGAAGATAAAATTAAGGTTATGATTACTGCATAATTTAATTTACTTGCTTATAAAATCAGTTATCATTTATTAAACTAGAACGACTAGTACTGTTCAGTAATTTAATTATAATTTCTTACCTGAACATTGAACCGATTCCTTTGAGTATGCCTGGTTTTTTCTTCGACGACTTAATTTTACTATCTAAAGCTGCGTTAAGTGATGATTGCCGTGGGGCTCCCCTTACGTTATTGAAGCCATCGATTTCCCGTTCGTTTTCCATCGGTCCGTCTAACAACCAATGCTTCTTTGCTCCTAAAATTGTATAAAATTATATCAAACAATTCTATTCAATAAAAATGACGAGAATTACCTATTTCACTAGTATGATTTGGATCTACTACTGCAGCCCTGAAACTTTCCTCACAACCTCTGCCGCGAATCACTTTCAAAGCACCAGAAGGCCCCCTGTAGCTGTACGCAGGATCACCTTCTTCTTGCATTTGGATCTAAATAAAAAAGTGTTAAAATTCAAATTAAAACAGGAAAAATCACAGCCATACCTCTTGGACCATGGTCTGCAAAGATTCCAAACTGGAAGACTTCTTCATGCCCAGACTTGGACCCAATTGACCCAATTTGTCAGCATCTGAGAAAAGAAATTGTGATAGGAGTTCAAAAGTATATTTGACACACAGATATATTTTATTGTAGAAAAAACATGAAATGCTTACACTCAGGATGCTCTGCTGAACGGTTTATGCTAATGACAGATTCCACCGACCCAACGCGCACTAAACTAGCTGTTAAATGGGACAAAAACATAAAATATTAGCCACAAGGCAGCCAACTAATTACAAGTTAATTACACTAAAATGACAAAAAATCTTTCTCAATGCGATAAAATTACTCAAATTGAAGGTTCCAAACAAAAAATTATAATGTACCAAAAACTACAAGGTTAAAGCGACACGTACGCTGTTTTTTTGCCATTTTACTACAACACATTACAAAAGCAGCGACAACAAAACAACCACCCGACTTACTGTCTTTGCTTCTCCTCTCTTCCCGCATCTTCTTCGACCTCTGGTAGGTATCGGTGCTTTTCGCGTCTAACGTAGCATGGCGTTTCTCCGACATACTCTGCCTGCCGAAAGCGTCTCTGCTAAAACCCTGGGGGTTTTCCAGAGACAGCTGACTGGCATAAGTGGCGTCGTTGGCCTGTATTGTGGTCTGAGAGGAAGTGTCGGTGCTCTTGTCGCCATTGCTGCCCGAGAGGCTAGCCTTTCCGTCGGGCTCGTGATCGTTCCGGTTCTCCGGAACGGCGCTATTGGACAAGCTCATTTTATTCGTTATATGAACATTTATTCTATAAAAGAAAGGGACGCTTTAAAGAAACGGGTTTAGAAACATATTTGATGATATAAAATGATAACAAATATTATTATTAAATGCCAGGTAGTTAAAATCGATTAATAATTTAGTTTTTCATTATGCGAAGTTCAAGTTAGTGACAATTAAAAAAATTATATTATGCACATATTATATACGTTAATGTTATATAGAGTGTCACTTGGGGGGGGAGGGGTAATAATACGTGTTCCTAAGAACATTAATCTGAACAGTTTAAATAATTGAGATTCCAATAACCGAGTGACTACGAGTACGTATAAAAAAAGATCAATTTATTCCACATTTCTGATATAAATATTTAACCCTTTCACTGCTCCATACGTATATATTCGCTAAAAATGTATAGGGCTCAAACTGCTCCAGACGTATTAATTCGCATGAGTAGTTAAATTGGATCAGGCTGCTCAAACCGTATATATTCGCAATCATGCGCATTAGTGACTGGGTTATTGCAATTGGTAAGGCGAATTTTTGCGGGCGAGCTTATACCGATTGTGACAAATATTTTTATGGAAAGAGGTGCTGGTAATTATACCAAGATTGTTCATGTTTCTTTCAGTTTCTATTTAGTACATATATACTGTATTTTATTCAAAATAAAATCGTAAAATTTATTGTAAATCGTAATTTAACACAACATAATGTAAAACTATAAGTGGTCTAACTGCTCCAGACGTATATATTCGCACGCGATAAACTTTCGCGCACGGCGCGGTAGTTACGTTCAGACGTATTGCACAGCGAAAGGGTTAATGACAAAAAGTTTGTCCATGCCACGGCTCATACGATGCAGAGAAAACTAACAAAGGTTTATTTATTTAAATTGTTCCTTTTTATTTTAGCAGAAATATTTAAAGAAAAAGCGTAACTGAAATTGCCACCAATCACAGACAATATAACCTACCTTAACCTACTTCCTGCTCTTGGTCTATAAATTTTATTATTTACATGACATTATCGTACATTTACCGTTCTTTTTTTTTGCTGTGCTACGATTAGACAAAGTTAATTGAAATATCCCTTAATGGATTATAAATAATCAACGATATCCCTAATTGCAACAGGAGATCGCTATCAATACATACATAATCTTTATGTCTACTTTGAGGATACAAAAAATTTAAATAAAATTTGGGACATATGGTATTAAATGGGATGAAGAAAGCTCCATTTTCAAGCTAAAGTATTACCTTTGGGATGTGACATATTTTTTCCAGAAACATACCCACATTTTTTTTTCCTGTTAATAAGCTCTCTTTTTTCTAATAAACTCTTATTAGAGCAGTTTTTCTGTATTACTGTCCGTTTAAAAGATATAAGCAATATCGTCTTAAAGAGTCTCAAAAGAATTATCACCTAAAAATTACATTAGCGGAATGTTCTTTGTTTAAAGTGCATAAACGCCATTAATAATAAATAAAAGGATTAAACTCGATAATTCTTTAATACAGTTAAAGCAAAAGGTGATGATGACAATAACTAAACTTAAAAAATGAGGCAAATGCTTTCATACTACATATTACAATCTATTCTCCATATGACTTCCCCTCATTTCAAAACACATATCCAATCTTCGCCTGACATCTTTGTGGGCTGCATTTATTAACATTTCGCCTTTTAGCTCATACAAGCCATTTTTTCTTTTAAATGATTAATATCTTGCGAAGGTGTTTTGTAAACCTTATTTTTCTAAAACTCCCCGTAAAAAAATCGAAGGGTGTTAGATCTGGTGACTTTCCGGGCCACTGAATAGGTCCAGTAAGCTCAATCCATTTTTTTGGGAAAGTGCTATCTAAATATTGCTGCACAATCTTGGCCTTGTGGGGTGGAGCCCCGTCGTGCTGAAACCATAGGTTTCTTCTTAGCTGCAAAGGGACATTCTCCAGAAATGCAGGAAGTTCTTCTTGTAAGAAATTTAGGTAAATCATGCTATTCACTATATATTCATAATTGTAAGGCCCAATTAAATGCCCGCAGATGATGCCGCACCATAAATTTATTCCAAAATGGCCTTGGTTTTGGACTGGATTTACAATGTGAGGATTTTCAATGGACCTGTTTGGCAAACTATTACTGATAAACCGACTTTCGTCCGTCTAAAGAACGTGCTGAAAAAGGTTCTGATCAACAGTTTCTACGTTGACTACAATTTGAGCTATAAAATTAAGTCTGTTATGGATGTGATGCTCAGACAAATACTCCAAATTTGAATTTTGTAGTCATGATACCCATTGGTCTTTAAAATTCATTTAATGGCTGATTTATCCAAATTCAATACCCGGCTAGCCTGCCGTATAGAATTTCGCGGATTTTGTTCGAAATACTATAACAGTCTAGTTATATTAATATTGTTTCGTACCTTTCGATCAATTATTTGATTTTTTCGAACAGAAAATGCATCTTCATTTCGTCACAAGGTCGCATCCAATCTTGCAAAGGTTCTATGATTAGGAACGAGGCGTTCTGGATACCTTTCTTGATATAACTCTACAGCTCTTCTTGAATTTTTTTGTGACTCGCACATAAAGTTATATGTTTGATGTTTGTCTTGAGTAATGACAAGTATTTTGCGACATTTATGCACTTTAAACAGCAAACATTAAATTATTTTCCAACGACTACTTGATCTTTCCATCGCTAATGTGATTTTTCCACGGTCCGCCAGTTGCCGACCGCTGCTTTAGATTGAAAGTGGAGCTTACCTTATCCCAAATTTTATTTAAATTTTTTGTATCCCCACAGTAAACCCATACTATCGAGTTTGAGACACCCTGTATATACAACTGCAATTTTAACTGGAAGTACTGTACAGTCTGAAATATTGTTCCATGTTAAAATAATAACAAAACGTGAAAGAAACAATGTGTGTGAAAATTTAAGAACTTACCTTATGTCTGTATTATAGTATGTACATATGTATACTGCATTGACAACATGAGAAATCAGACGGTAAAAAATGTTCTGTACTTAAGCAGGACAAGAAAAGTGTGTAGTTCTTTTGTTTAGCAGCGTCAACCTTGATTTTGCTGCGATATTTGGCCAGACGTAGAGCTTTGTTCGGTGTATTGAAGGGTTATATCAAATGTCATGTCAAGACCTGACTCTAGTGGCGGCCCTTGTAAGTAAAGTAGGTAAACAAACACCGGAAATAGGATGGTCGGACTTAGCGGGGAGTCGGACCATCCGAGGTCGAATTAGCGAGGTTCTACTGTATATAAAACTAACATTGAGTGACAGAGTAAAACTTCAACGGAAATTAACTTTGTATAAACAAATTGTTTCTGTATGACTTTGTGACAGGTTAGTTTACAGATACTAATTGTAAGTAAAAGTAATTTATGTTTCAAAATAATTATAAAAATATTTTTTAAGATTATTTCAAGTTTTTAATAAAACATATTTTTTTAAAGCACTGAGTTTAGTTTGTGAATCTCAGTGTTGATGGCCTCTGATACCGATATAGTTTAGGAAAATGTCATAATGTTAATCCACCCGATGTGACATGATAACAGTTTTTACCGGAATCAAAATAAAATTTGTATAGTGTAGTGTTGTGTTAACAGTATAATCTTACAAAGTTATTTATTTAAGTGATATTTTTCAGTGATGAGCTTTCAATAATTTTAATCAAGAATGATTTTGCGGCTGGCACATATGGTTGTTTGAGTTTACAGTAGCCTGTTCTATGACGGTATTAAATTACAAAAAAAAAATGTTTTAAATCTAATTTCATGACAAAATTTGAGAAAACAAACATATATGTTTCTAAATTTCAAAGGTAGTTTTGTATAAGTATGAGCCCCATTCAAAGTTACACCCTGTATTAATAAAGCAACCCTTGACTATGATAAGGAAATGATAGCATATTAATAATTAAACTTTGGTAAAATCCTAATTTTTCTAAATATATCGAGGGCGTCATATCAGAAGGGCATAAGAGCCACTATAGTCGGTTTTGGGTTTTTAGGGCCTATGACCTCATTTAATCAATTCCCTTAATACATCAGAAGGGCGTATATATTCATAAACATCAACACTCTATTTTAACGCATTTTACATTATTCTAACGCATTTATGAACCAATTTTGCAAAGCTATAATTTCAGATTTGGTTCATACGCCCTTCTGATATAACGCCCTCGATATGCATATTGAACATTATAAAATGATAAAATGATAAACTTACTGTTGATTTTGATGTGGTACAACCCTGGAGCCATATTCATCTTCAATCAAAATTGGTTCCACATTCGTCATATTTACAGTGGTGCTGGTCAAATTACCAAAAGAACTGTTTCCCAACATACTACTGGTCCAAGTATCATGGGTAGCCTAACAAAATATAAACATTTCACTAGCTATAATACAAAACAAAATATGTTAAATTTTAGCAAACGACATGTAAATACAATGAAAAAAATTAAATTGTTAGTAAGTTTAATTCGACAAACTTGTATGTAATATGCATTTCAATGATTCAACAAATAAGAAAATCATAATATTCTCAGCCAACCACCAGTGTAAGGCTCTAAGTTAAACCTACCTTACAGTAACTTTCATTCCTTAGCTGCTTAGTGTTGCCAGTGAGCCTTTCTAAGACGGGATTCCAGGTATGCATTGGACTTAGTTGGTTGGACGGAGACTTGCAGTCCGATACGTTTCCCAACCCCCCTTGAGGGTTAAATATTACGGTGTTGGTGGACCCACCACTAGCGCCGGAATTATCTACAGAGTCGCTTTTGTCTTGCGATTGGTACAGTTCACTAGCCGAATTAGAAGTTATTAGTAAATTATCGCTTGATTTGTTGCGGTAATTCCGGTTAGAACCCGGCGAAGAAGCTTTCCTAGCTATCGTAAGCGTAATATGCCCCGGAACGGGACCTTCGGTGTGCGGGATGGCATTCTTTAGAGTCTCCATGGCGTCGCTGTTCGACATCTGTAGTAAAGATATCCCGTTGACGTTGAGTAATTGATCGTTGGTGCGCAGCCTATTATCTCTCGAAGCTGCGCCACCAAACATTACACCTTTTATAAATATGCCGAGGTCTTTGGAACCACTGGTTTTCCCTTTCACGCTGATGCCGAGACCGGCTTTCTCGGAATCGTGCACGGGGATGTTAAACGTAAGGATTTCTCGGTGCTTCCACGGAAAGACCATGCTCTCCTCCATCTGATCCAGGGGCTGAAATTTCGACCAGTTAGGTCCCCGAGTAAAAAAATAACAAGCAAAAGCAGGCAGCAGCAAACATACGTACGGAAAGTCAACAAACTCATACAGATTAGTGAGTAGTTAAGGGAAAAGTTAGTACAGTCTACGAGGTGAGCTCTACCAAAAATATCTAAAAAAAGATAATTACACTGTTGTTGTTCACCGCCTCTTGGAACTGTGAAATAATTTTGGCGACAGAACCCTTGTCGGGGGTTCTGTTCTGCAGGGCCTGCAGGTGGCTCTGAGGCAGCGGTGGAATGTTTGGGGGTACGTCGATGTTTGAATTGTCAGTTGAACGGTCTACTTCTCGTTCATTGCTATGTTCGACATCCTGCGTGAGAAACAATACAATACTGACATGATACGCTGACGAGAAAATACTAGATTTAGATAGGCAGGTTCTTTTCACAAGAGCAGATAGATCAATGTGTTTATAACGATAAGTGATGCATTACGAAAAAGTAGTGTCAATTTTCAACTACCGACTAATGATTACTTGGAAAATTAAGAAGTATGCTACAAGGAGATAAAAAATATTAATGTCTTCAATAATATTTTGCCTACAACTTCCTTCAAAATGTAATATTTATGCAACAAGTGTGTAAAATATTTATTTGTTTGCTAACGAATCTTGTACAATTAACAAAAAAAAATACTTTACACACAGATTGTAGGCAATGCTTTTTTCTACCAAAAATTAAAATATACATCTATTAAACACACTATAGTGTATACATTATTTCATTTAAGCACTATTGTCTAAAGTGAAATAAAATAGTAAGGTATTAAATTAAATTTTTTTAATTTCAGATAAAGTTTGAACGAATACATTGAAGATGAATTTTTCGATACAAAACGTTTGAATCTGGTTCCGGCTGAGGCAGTACAGTATTGGGGGTCATGAAAGTTTGTAATAAATTTAATAAAATTTCCAGAGTCGTATTTAAAAAAATGATGTTGATGATAGTCCTGAAGAGACGAAACGGTACATATAAAAATCGATTATGCTATTCGATAGAAGGCAAAAAGGTTGCCATGATAAAGTTTTTTTTTCAATATCACCTCAAACAAGGCTGAAATGAAATACAAACGGATTTTCAAAATTTCGGTTTTTTTCAAATATTTCGAAAACTAATCATGTTAGCCTCTGCTTGGCTCTGCGCGTATTCGTGTACCCCTCTTCAGAGCTGAGCTAATTGCATTAAAACTCGTTTGCACATAAGAAGTATTTTAATCAACATGCAGAAATTACACACAAATAATTTTTATCGGTTTTATTGAATACAACAACTCACGTCCGATGAAATATACACCCAGTCTCCTCGTGCTCGGATATCGCTTCGATTGGAGAACCCGAGTTATTTAGTCAGTGATAACGTCTGAGACGGTGATGGGATGATTTATACAAGCAGTTCCCAGTCACATGCTAATGTGTCCGTGTTATTAGTATGTAATAAAGTATATAGTTATTCATTTGGGCAGTAATTCTCGCAGCGGGGCCACCCCTGTCGCCCGCTGCTAAACCTCACCTTTAATGGTATTATTTATGCCTGAGCCGGGGTCGCCCAGCGAGATCCCCATATATATTGCCGTTTTCTGCTGGCTCGCAGGACTTATGGGCGAGCTGCGACTACTCACCTCCGATGAAAACATATTCGTTGCGTGCTAATCATTGATTTTTATTTATTGTCCGGGTATTTACACAACATCGGTACACCAATTATTAATTAATGAAATTCGTATTATTTTACCTGAGAGCGGGCTCTGGAAGACATCGATAAAACACCTAGGAGCGAATAATGGTCATGCCACCCGTATACACGTGTAGCGTATAGGGGAGAGAGTATATTTCTTGACTTATTACTTTTTCGTAGTGACCAGGAACTTTTGTCGTAGATAACACAAGCACAAGGGGGTTGACCTAGAGACTAGAGACCCCACTAGGCTGTCTCTATGTATTTTAATGCTCTGAGTCCNATTTAAGCACTATTGTCTAAAGTGAAATAAAATAGTAAGGTATTAAATTAAATTTTTTTAATGATTATTTCACAAAAAATTATAAAATAAATATTTTTTTGTATCTCAAAGGACCCCGCACAAAATAAATGGAAAATGGTCTTTCGGTAAATCTTGCTGAAATTTTGCAGTTAGGTTTCAGTTTGCTGAATCAATGACACTAAGATCAAAAAACTTCACCCAAGGCCAGTGTGCGGTTCGAAATATATGAAAAAAAATATTTTGTTGAATCTTGTTAACCACAGGTCAACATTTCATCCACAATTAAACACTCAAAGCGGTCTGGTCCTTATAGGATCTTTAGGGTCGCTGATTACGATGAGTAGGTCAGTTAAGCTCCATCACATCAGTTTCAAGGTCATTTCAAGGTCATTTGAAGGTCAAGTAGAGAAATAAGTCAAAAAAATCTGAAAAAATTCATATGTATGTTTTCGAGGTCCCTAATCATGAAACAGTAGTTTGTTTGACCCCGCAGCGACTCCCAGGGGTCATTCAAGGTAATGCCTAGGTCATTTTGAAGGTCAAGTAGAGAACTGATCGTCGAAAACGTCTGGAAAAATTCACAAATATGTTTCCGAGTCAAAAACATTGAGTAGATGAATGCATAACTGAGCGTTGGCCATATTGGATCCGCCATCTTGGATTTGGAAACTATGAAAATCTAACTTCATATTCGCGATCAGCGACCCTGGAAACCTCCAAGTAAAAAAATTCTGTCAAAAACATTGAGTAGAAGAGCATGACTGACGTCGGCCATATTGGATCTGCCATCTTGGATTTGGAAACTATGAAAATCCAACTTCATATTCGCGATCAGCGGCCCTGAAAACCCCCGAGTAAAAAAATTCAGACAAATATATGCTGTTGAATCATGTATGACTCAAAGGGTTAACCGACCCACTCACCGTAATCAACAACCCCAAAAACCCTATAAGGACCAGACCGCTTTGGGTGTTTCATTGTGGATCAAATGTTGACCTGTGTTTAGCAAGATTCAACGAAATACCTTCTTTCGTATATTTCCATATACAGGGTGTTCCTAAATAAGTGTCGCAACGGAAAACTGTAAATTCCTATTGAAAATAGAAACAATTTTTCCCTCTTCCATTTTTCTCTCCGGGCTTTTGTTTCCGAGATACACGGTGTAAAAATTTTTTTTTTAGTTTTTTGCCAATATTTTAGGAACCGTTTGAACTACAGGACTGATCTTTTGTACACACATTACCATTACTAATAGCTACTTTTTTGCCCCTTCTCGAATTCATTGGACGTGCCAATGGTGGATCATAAGCGTTTTTCCCCTTTAACTTTTACGCCACTGGAAAAATTGACATTTGACAGCAAATTCTGAAGCGCAAATGAATTTTACACAAAAAGAGTTCTCTTGGTTCATTGCTCTAAAGTCGACCGTTTTCAAGAAAAATTACTTTTTATGAACAAAAGCAAACATTTTGTTAACGTTTCGAAAATCTTTTGTAATTTAAAAAATAGGTAGTAATAACTAACAATATTAACGAAATTTAACGACAGATTGAATTTTAACTTTTTTTATCAATTTGGTGAGTAAAATTTACAAAAACTTCAAAAATATGTTTGCGGACTAATGTGTGTACAAAAGCTCAGTCCTATAATTCAATAACGGTTCCTAAGATATTAGCAAAAAACTAAAAAAAATTAAAGTTTTGACACCGTGTATCTCAAAAACGAAAGCCCGGAAAGAAAAATGGAATAGGAAACCAACGTTTCATTTTTCAAGACGAATTTACAGTTTTCCGTTGCGACACTTATTTAGGAACACCCTGTATTTTGTGCGGGGTCCATTGCACATGTAAGTAAGTAAATTAAAATATAAATAATTTACTTTACGCACTAGTGTATACAGTCTTTACACACTAGTGAATACTGGGCGTTTCTTTTCATATGGCAAAAAAACTTTAAGTAGCGATTCCTTCCCAAAAAGTGAGGAGGGTCTTCTATAAAAACTTGTTTCCAAAAATATCTGCTGTCGCTATCCCTTTAAAGGAATAGATTAAAATTCAGTTATTTTATTTCAGAATAGTTTACTGCAAAATGCATAAGATAGAAGAGTTTTTAATTGAGCCAAGTTCTGAAAGGACATTTTTGAATTGTGCATTTTCAACTCTATAAAAAGATAACCTAAAAAAACCATTAAAGGTTACAATTTTCTCTCTTTCAAGTGTCAGAGACGATTAAAAATATCTGCGTGAAAGCCTTTGATAAGATATATCAACATCCCAAATTACATTCTTCTATGTTTCTCCAATTGTGAGAAATGAAATAAAAACTGAATTTCAACTACCCTTTTGAAGGGGTGTAGCTTCGATAGTAGAAGTTTTTGGATATAAAAGACCTCCCTTACTATTTGGCAAGAAATCGCTGCTTAAAGTATTTTACAATACTTAAAAAAACATCCCGTAAACAATTCCATTCTGGACATTACGTATAAAGTATTTCAGTTATGCACTAGTGTAGTGTTTCACTTCACACACTAGTGTATAAAGTATCTCATTTTACCAGTGCATCTAATTCCATTGTTCACACTAGTGTATAATTTTTTACTCTAGTGTATGAAATATTTCAATTTACCTACATACCACCGCATATTTATTTTGAAGAGCTGTAGAATAAATGCAAAATTTGTTATTATTTGTAATAGACAAAATATTTTTAGTGTATCTCCAATTTTAATTTATAACTGCCCAAATTCTAATTAAGTTGTAGGTCAACTAGATATTATCTGAAAGGTGCAGTTTATCACACGAGCACTAAAATAGAACTTTTTTGCACAACTAGAACAATTTTGTGACAAACTACCACGATTTTGTAAAAAAAAGAATCATTATAAGTACTTACAATTATTCTGGGTAAATTAGTGTCCACAACGTCTTCCTGTCTGGAAACCACGATTCTAACTTTGCTCCCCAGAGGCAAACTCTTCAGCAGCGCTACAGCCTCGGCTTGGCTTTTCCCTGTCATCTCCGCGTTGTTCACTTCCAATAAACGATCTCCTATCCTCAGCCTCCCGTCTTCGATAGCAGGGCCCTAAAAAATTGTTTCAATAGAAAGGAAATATTAGAAAATCGTATTTACTTACCACTGCATTAATATTTTTTATGTAAATAGGGCACTTTCCACCAGCCGGATTGTCTCTTGTGGTAATACTAAACCCTAAACCGTGCGGTCCTTTCACTAATTCTATCTCAATTTTCCTCCCGATCTTCCTAGTGTTAGCCGTCAGAAGTCCTTTGAGGTTCTTCGATATCGCAGGTACCTTTTTGGTGGGCGACACCGTAGCTACCTTCGTATTTGTACTTTCTGCAATTTAAATCAAGTTATGGAAGACGGGGATTATCAAGAATTAGAAGCAACTCACGTTTTTGCTCGCATTCTACCATCGACACTTTCTCTTTGTCTTCCGGAAAACAGGGGTATATGGGGGGCGGAGGTTTCCGAAGACCTTCCAGGCCAGAGGCCTTGATAACTTTCAGTCTTAGTTCGGGCGAAGTAAGGGAAAGTTTGAACAGTTCTTGCACCCTAAAATTTAATCTTAAAAAGCTTCCGTCACTCCAAAGGCAGAATTCTGACGATTAGAGCCCAGCCAGTTTGGAGACATGACGCAAATAATAGAGCCAGACTATGTACCAACTACGTTTTGCAAAAACAATTATATCAATAGTTGCCGTGAACTAAGAACATAGTTTAATCATTAAAAGGAAATCAATTGAAGGGTACAGCTACATTCCGAAAATTAGACGTTAATGAGATTAGAAAAACGAAGAAAGATTCTGGGCCTTGCAAATAATTAGATGGGAGTGATTAAGATTTAATATTACTCACTCTAATTGCTATTGTACAGCATTTTATTATTGTCAAACAAACAAAGTGCTTATTAAAACTGTTGACAATTCACACATTCATATTACGAATACAACAGAAATATTTGTTACGTTAACAGAGATCGTGAAGCTGAATTAAATGAAATAACTTTCTTATTTATTATACCTATTTCTATGTGCATACTGTATACCATTGCAACAATAAATATCGATACAATCATATTGGTGTTCAATAAATCACACTATTGATGAGGTCTTTAAGGTTCAACTCTGTCACGTCTCCAAGAGAGCCGAGATCTACTAATAATTGAATGCAACTAATTTTAAATTAATTTTGTTTATAGTGATCCTAACTAGAAAATTATTTGTAATCTTACCTTTGGAAAGGCATGTTGATGAGGTTTTCTCCGTTGATCTCTATAACGCGATCGTATATCGCCAATCTCCCATCCCTATCGATACGTCCCCCAGGTTCGATTCCCTTCACCAATAACCCCCTCTCGCGCCCCAAAGTGTCATAGTCGGGTATCACATGAATGCCCAAGGGTCCGGGTTCGTTTCGAATCACTATCAATTCACCACCGTCTGCTGAAGAAGGTAATGGACTCGTGGAGTTGTTGGCTTGACCCAAAGGTTCTTTGCGACGACTTTCTCTAGGCAGGGACGTGCTTACGTGGCTCCTGGCGGTGGCGGCGCGTTCTGCAGCCTCGGCCCAACGATAACTGCAAGAACAATCGTATTGTAATCTTTTCTTTCCCGATGATGAATTTGAGTATTATGCTTGAAATGTACTGGCTCCTCACATTTAACAACATTCCGTATAAAAAAAAAACATGTTATCAACCATTTGAACTCTATATATTGTATTGAGTTTCTAAAAATTTAACTTTCAGTTTGGAAAATGTTATAATACAAAGAATGTAACTAATTTTGACATTATTTACTAACTAAGAAAACTACTAGAAAATACTAACTAAAAATACTAACAAAAATATGTAGCCAAATGAAGACGTTTTAATGCCTATGTCGCAAGGAGTATATAGAGAATTTCTAAAGAATGGTGTACAGTAGGTAGATTTTATGCAATTTTTTTTTAATTCCAAAATGGTCCATTAGATCCAATTGAAAGTTAGTATACGTCTTTAGACTATCGACTGCAATAATCTTATGGGAAAATAAATTCTCTATTCACAGTAGTGGAGATGCAGAGCGCAACTGGTGTCGTTTTGTATTTCCTAAAAAATTATCCGTAGCATTTTCAATAAATCTTTTTTTAAAGGCATATAAAATGACACCTATTCGAGATTGATTATTTGTAACTTTTTCCAGAAAATATTTAATAAATATGTACATATTAGCATGCACGTTGATGGACAATCCTAAAATTAAAAATGGTTTACTATAAAATTTTACGGATACAGGGTATTTGTAAATAAGTGCGAAATATTTTAGGGGGTGGTTGCCGAAGTTATTTTGTGAGAAAAAGTTCATATAAACATAGGTCGAAATATGCTTCGTTTCCGAGATACAGAGTGTTTAAATTTTAATTATTTAATTTATAAATTATTTCAGTTTTAAAGAAATTTGAAAAACGTTTTAGAGGGATAACTGTGCATTTTTTGGGGTGATCCAAATATTTCTACTTGCACCAGTGGCGTTCGTACGAGAATGCTACAACCTTTTTTAAAAAAAAAATTGTACGCCACTGACTTTTTCCCTTTTTGAAATTTTTTAGAAATTCGCCATCAATTCTGAATGAAATCGGTCTTTTCAATTTTAGGATGCACCGTTTTTGAGGAAAAAAATAAAACATTTTATTGCAAGTTGTGTACTATTTTTAATTTCTGTTGATACATTATCTAGTAGGTTGCTGTCAATATTTCTAAATAAAATACAACTATCAAATTTCGAGTCGATATCTCGGAAATGAAGAATATTTCGACCTCTGTTGATATGAACTTTCACAAAATAACTTCGGCAACCACCCCTTTAAATATTTCGCACTTATTTACAAACACCTGTATAATCAAAATATGAAAGTTTGAAAGGGATATGATTTTTATAAGATTTGTTATCAAAATGTATAAAAACATGTATTGTTAATTTTCTCAGAAACGGTGCAGACTATTAAAATGTTACCAAAACTTTTTTTAAGGTACCTTCCATAACTCCCTAGATGTCCGCCACTGTAAGTGACGAAAAAACTACTGTTCCATAATGTTATTGCGATCGATAATCTAAAGAACTGTTGCACGTTATATTTGGATCTAATCTAATCTAATTCCTTATAAGGCTTACCATAAGTACAAAAAAATGTGCCAAAAAAAAAACAAAAAGCGATAATTGCAAAGGAAATTATGATGATTTCTTGGAACCATAACGTTGAAAAACTGTCATTTATGAACTATTTTGGAAAAGTTGTAATAAAGATCTTACAGATTTCAAAAATTCGCAAAATTAAAATTTGAAACGTAAAAATTGGTACAAAATCAAAACAAATACATTTGTACACTGTACTGATCTTTTCACCCCTCCTTTTTTTTGTAATTAGCAGTGAAATTAGTAGAAATATTTCACTTGGGATTTTTAAATTATCATCTGAAAGGTAAATTTAAAAACTATGGAGACTATTCAATTATGGCCATAAAAATTGCATGTCTTGGATATTATAACATTAATTTTGTCATTATTATTATGTTTTTATTTCCTCAAAAAGATTAATGTGAGATAACTTCTTTTTTTCACCAATGTTTTACACCTTGTTCTTTGTATTGTAAAAGCTAGGCACTATCTTTAAACAAGCTTTTTCCATTATATCTCAATGTTGTACATCTAAAGTTCACAAATAAACTGTATTTGGAAACAAGGATGAAAACGATATTTGTAATACATTATTTATTAATTTGTGACACCTTGTGAGACAGGGTGTCAGAAATTGGTAGGTCAAACTGCTAAATTACTTGTCTGAAAATAATAAGACTTTGGTTATGTCACTTTTAATTTGGAAATCCCGCTCTAGAGTTACAGGGTGTTAAAGGTAAGATTTTAAAAACAGATTTTTATTAGAAACTCCGTTGCTTTCTAAACATTTAACTGGGTTGAAATTTTTCACACATTTATAACTATTATAGTGACACACTTTTGAGTGATTGCAATTATACAAAAACTGAAACGCTCTTCCTCTTTTTCCTTTAGTAAGTTGTGTAGGTACTATTTTTTGGATGAAGTTATGTTATGTTCAGGTTAGTTATGTGATAGAAATCCTCAGTTTGCGTTAGACTAATAAAGAGCAAATAAAAAATTGAAACAGCATAGGTTAACACAATTAAGGAAGTAATTTTTTATATCAAAATTTTACAAGAGAGGGAAAAACTATGAAAATACAGATTTTTTCTAAAAAGAACCTCTCAATCATAGACGTGTATAGAAAAAAATTGAGGGGCCCGATGTGTTTCGATTTTTTTAAAGCAAAAATGCTCAAAAGTGTGACGGTATAATGCTACAGTGTTCCAAATTTCATTTTAGTTAGAAAACAACGGACTTATTAATAAAACAACATTTTTTAAATCTTTTAACATTCGAAAACGCGCCCAAATTAAAAATTACATTATAGAAGTCCATTCCATTATCTTTACCCCAGTAGTTTGTAATTTACGGCTTAACCTACGAATTTGTGACGGCCTGTATGGCTGATGTAAGAATTTCTATCAGTCTAGAATTGTCTTAAAAATCATGAACGAAAGAACTTGACCATTAATGATCCAACTCACCCAGCACCGTCGGCCCCCAGGAACTGCATGGACAGCCTGTTGCTGCCATCCCGCGCCACCCTTCTGAACCCGGGCTCCTCTTCTTCCTCCCTGGAGTCTTCCATCCAATCCGGACTGGCGTAACCCGAGCTGGGAGGCTCCAGAATGAGGGGGGCCGCGCTCCATCTTTTCGTGTGTTCGGGGGCGGCCGGAGGTCCCGCGGGTAACTGGTTGAGGGTGGGCTCGCTGCCCCTGCGCACCTGCAAAAGAGGCACCCCTGAGGCTATCTGTTCGCCGGTCACCTCGATGTCCGTTCGAGGGGGGTAATTGGGGCCGTACTTGTGCTCGCCGTCCTGTCGGAGGGAAACAGTTTTGATTAGGTCCAGGTGGTGCAGGACTAGGAGATCTGTCATTGTGTCTGTCGTCGCGCAATGATTCGTGCGGTTTTTAGGGAAGAAACTTAGAACAACCGAAAAGCCTTAATAACTGTTTTTGAACTGAATATTTGACGTAAATACAGTTACAAATTTTTCGCAGTCCTAGTGAAGTTTGTTTCACTGATTTTTTTTTTGTATATGTAACTTGCAGTTTAGGGTAAAATGAGTAGAGATACCTAAAGCCACAATATAGGTGTGAACCAAAAATTAGAAGTAAAAATTGTTTATTCCAAAGAAATATACTCCTCACATGGAAAAGAATTTAGTGTGAGAATATTTATTTTCTATGTAAACATATGAATACACAGGGTATCTATTAATCTCTCGAGAACATATAAGGGTTGTCAAAATTGAAATATTTGAAAAATTTGTTCCCATATTTATTTAGCCATACCCATATACAGGTCTGGTCGAACTAAACGTGGAGGTGGTAGAAATGTATACCACCAGTTGAAGAATGCGCGCGGGCAATCGCCGCACAAATACAGCCGCACTGGGCGACTGGGCCATAAATTTCAGTTGTTGACAAATTGCCTAGCAGTGCAGTTGAGAACATAAATATGTAATTAAAATATGTAGTTGGCTAAATGAACAAACATATAATACAAATTTTCTACACATTATATACGAATTAATATTATTTTTTGCCTTTAGCAGAACACTTTTTTAGGGACGCCTATGAAATTCATTAAATTTTATTGCTAGGCGTTTTTATACAAGTTCAACTGACTTTGGAAAATTATAACTAAGATTTATGTTTTGGGTTCTAACTTTAATACTATCCTGTATATTTTGATTAAATTTTGACGATGACATAGTGTATTACAGATAAGTATCCATGTTTTGATATTAAAACCAGTCTACAAAGTAACTAGAAACGGATTAGCATCAACACAGTTTTTTTAGAATGTTAACAGATGTTGCTATCGAACTGAGAATATTATTTTTAGATAACATTTTTCTTTAACAAATTCATTTATTTGGATAAATTGAACGATTTTCGAAATAAACGTAAAAATCAACAGCAATAAGTACAGTTAAATTTTTAACAAATAACAAATTATTTCATGAACACTGTTTATTTAACTTTACAAATCCAAAAACCTTAGTTTGAGAGAAACAAGTTACAGATTAAAAATAAACATTCACTAGGTAATTGTTCAAAATGAGCTACATGACACTTCAATTTTGAGTGTTTCATGCGTTAACATTAATTTATCAAATGCTTTTTTTAACCGATACCTAGATTAAGGCGAATCTGTATTATGGATACCTTCCGACCTAATCTGCCGGAATTTATTTGAGACGTCATCCAAAAGAACACATTTATTCAACACTCGTAAATACTAGAAAAGAACATTTTGAACAGTTATGGAAGTGATTGATATTTACCTTTTTCTCGTATTTTATTATTATGCAGAAAAATATGCTCATTTTTAATTTTTAACTTGTTTGTCTTAAGCTGTGACCAGCCCTTTCAAAACTTTTAGGATTTGGCAACGTTAAATAAACTATACATGAAACGATTCGTAAAAAATAAATTCTAATTGCTGCTGCCCATTTCTAAAACCGAATGATATTGAAAACTGGTTAAATTATATAAATAAAATTGGAGTACAGATGTTATCTTGATAACTTCGCCAGTAGGAATAAACAAGTGAAAATAAATTGTCTTTGATGAATAAATCTGAAATAAAATTGTTGGTATTTGAGTTTTTATTTACAAGTGGTAAACAAGTGGTAACGATCTCCAAATAGCTTAACAACGCGTATACACGAAAATTTTTCTCCAGCAGAATCATTTGCAACTAAAATTTGGTCATGTTTAAGGAACCGTGACAACAACACTTCGATGAAATGTTTATAAAAGTATTCTTTAGTAGAATATATTTGATTTGAAGTTATGTAACTGAAAAATTAGTTCGTTAGTTGTTTTGGCGAAAGAGTAAATATTACCGCTTTTTATTTAATTTCGGGATTGGGCGCTATTGACGGGAGACAAATTGATCCCGAAATCGGGGATTCCCATTTGGAAAGTATTTTAGGAAGAATATTGATCTAATTTTTTTTTAAATTTTTTATGTATATGTAGTTCAATGTTCAAATGTGCACCCGTTCAAATATTAAAATGGAACCTTCGAACACCCTGTATTTTCTGCATATTCACTGCCTGAAATATATCTGTTTTACGTGAAATCTATATGAGATATAAAGAATTAATAAGAAATAAAAAATATTTAAAAATAAATTTCAGATTCCAAAAAAATCGCATTTGCCATTTTTACCATATTTCAATAATAAAGATACATACAAACTAAGAAGTCTTTAGCTCAAGTTGTTTTCAAGTTATTTATATAATAATATGAAAATATATTGTTCTATCTCGAAAACAGCTAATTTTTCGACATGATTATATGTATAATTCATTTATTTTAACTTGTTCTACCTGGGGTATAAACCCCACGTATGATTACGTAAAAAAGTAGGCACCCATCTCACATATTAAATGATTAGAGGTTAGAGGGATAGATGCCAAGTCTATAGTCAATGGGAATGGATAATAAAATGTAGGACATTTAAAATTCTAGGTGTGTATTGATTACAAACAATAAAAATGATAAAAAATATGTGCAATTAATGTAATAAAAAAACGAAAATTAAACATTTTTATTTACTTATATGTTGTACATATCACTTTGAGCATCTTAAAGGGATATGTCGCTTTTATTAAAATATCCAATTTTTCTTTTAATTTGTTAAGAATTCAAGAGTTCTTATTTTTTCCGCCAAAGTGGTACCTAACAAGTTGTGGTAACTGCAACTCACTTGACTAACAAATACAATAAAACCTCTATTTTCACTTTTCAGCCACCTCTAAAAATGGCTAGTCGTCAAATTATAATATATTGATCCTCTCTCAACAACGGCCACAACAATATAACAGCCATTTTTACAATAAATTTACAATAATGAAAAACGACATATTTACTATCTTTGCTTTAAGAGTATACTTGAATTGGAATCTATTCTCAATGTACAAAGTTTTACTTGTTTAATAACTTATTTATTTTTTTATACACATATATGATCTAATGAGACTAATTTTATAAATATTACAGTTAAAAAAAGGTTGTTTAGGCATCTATACCCAATTTACCCTACACGAAATAATAATATCACAGTCCACTACACATTTACTATAAAACTGCCAACAAAACGAGTAACTAGTAACTACGTACACAAATGGTAATCATAAAAGATCAATGTCATACGTCGATGATGACTAAACGATGGTAGTAGCGAGTAAAGATCATCAAAATTGCACCTACTGCTTGTACCTACTTCTTTATTTAGTAATACACCTACCGCTAAATTATTTTTCTAATTATTACATAATAATGTTTACAAGAATAACGATTTTAAACATGCTCGTTAATGAGGTTTGAGAATCCCTTTACCGCAAACAAATAAATCAGAAAATTACTAAATTTAATATGCGGTTTATACAGGTGTTACGTATTATTCTTAGACATAATAAACACTTTGTTTAAAACACTGTAATGAATGACACTAGTAGGTCGAGAAAAACAACAAATCTTAAAATTTGTTATATTTTTCAGTTAATTTTAAGTTTTAGTAAGAGAAAATCTGTTTGTTTAAAAATCCAAAAAATGTATATTAACTTCGATTTCTCCAACAAAGATAGCACGATCTAATTAATATAATTATGTATATTTGGATACTTCCTACAGATCTGTATGTATGTATTCAGGGTGTCCTAGATTTAAAATTACAACTTCATTGGCAGATAAAGACACACATACCTAACCCCCTTTTTATCTTTTACTTTTCTGAGATACAGGGTGTTTTGTCTGAAGCTCTAATCCATTATAATATTGGAACTGCTATATAAGTATATCTGGAAAAAAATTTTGTGGTACCTTTTTGAAACAAAAACGGAAGCCTAATTCCAGGGATAGCTTCGATTTTTTTTAAACGTTGTCGGTAATATCACCAGTATATTGTCTTATGACAAATGTTAGTTATAAAAGGTATTGGCCTAATATTACATGAAAGCAATAATACTAATGATATTTGATACCCCTCACATAGAAAAAAATAGCTATCCATGATTCAGTAATATATTTATTTATTTTAAGTGAAGAAATTTTATTAAAAAATTAAAAAAAATATAATATTCTCGGATTGTAGGCAAGTAAATGTGTATATACAATCAAATAATCTTGAAATAAGTAAAATTTCTTGTCGTAAATAAATAATTCCGAAGAGAAGAACAATTTATTTAAATTAAGGTTATATTGTAAATGAGATATACTTATCAAATAAATGTATTTTGATTCCAAGATACGTTTTCGTATGTATATTTTAAATATACGGTATTATTGGTTAAATATCATCAATGCTCTGTTAATTTTAGTTAGACTACAACAAAGTTGTTAAAAAATAAAGGAAATGAGCCTGAGAAAATGGTTAACAAGTTCTGTTTTTGTCGTTAATATTTTTTAATCACATGGTATTCTGCCGTATTATAATCAATTTAATATCACTTAATACCACTATACGAATGACTAGATTATTTAAGTTGCAAATATTTTGAATCCTTAAGTATGGCGATATTTTACCACTACATTTTTTTTGCTTAGAAAGTTTTTTATTAAATTCATGAATACTTACAGGAAAAATGTTAGGGACTTGGATAAATACAGTACATGTGGTGCTCTCAAAGGGCCATTACGTTCAAATCAGGAAATCACTGATTATTACTGTAGGTAGACCATTATTTTTGTATTGACTTTTATTTTTTTATTGAAAAATGCTCTTTGAATGTGTTTTGACAAAATAAAATGTTGACATGATCAATACTGCATTCAAATATGCTGGTACAAATGTACACATAATAATTAACAATTATACACCCCGTCCCAATTTAATCGATCATTCCGAAAAACTGCAGGATGACCTCCAATTAAAAAACTTCCAGGACAAAAGTTGTAATGGGGCCGCACGATAATAACCTTACCCACAGGTCAAACTTAGGGGTCATTTGGAGGCCAATTTCAGAGAATTTCAAATGGAAAGCCCATTTTTTTAATACAAAAATGGAAAGATCAGGAAATTCTACGTTCAGAGAGATATGTATTATTTGATCTTGGGTCATTTGATTAATTTTTGTGGCAATTTCTATCAAACTGCCGTGGTCATGATTTATAGTCTAATTGTAACTCTGACCTTGAGCCCTGGGGGTTAAAATTAGGGGTCATTTAAGCTGATTTGACCTTCGGAGGGCCCCTAGGTATCAATCTGACTCAAGATCAAATATACATCTCTGAACGTAGAATTTCTTGCTCTTTCCATTTCTGGATAAAATAAATGAAGTTTCCATTTAAAAATTCCGAAGTTGACCTTTAAATGACCCATCTCAATTGGTGGTCATCCTGCAAAGTTATTGAATAATAAATTACTACCAAGATGTACGATCAAATATTATGGTATTATTTCATATGTTGGTCCATTGCCTTTTGTATAGTGTTTACAAACATTTGTCAGAAGGTGATACACAAGATATTATGGACATTCGAACATTTAAAAAAACCAAGGCTGGTTCTACGAAGGTAGTGCAGCGGTTTCAGAGTTACAGCGAGTTAGTAGTAGTTTCGAAGCCAACTAACAGCGCTTTGTTTCCCAATCACGTTTGTCGTTGTAACTTGAGACACCCTATATAGTGCGTCAGCTTCGTTATCTGCCAGACCTATTTGTTTCAAGGCATAACCTCGCCAGAAATACACACAGAATTAATTGCTATATCGCATACAAAATATAAATCTGATTAAAACGTCCCATCAATTGTATTCAACCTTATCTCTATTTATAAAACATCATACCGTGAAAAATTATTCGAAGATCTAGCAAATTACAGGTGGAAAACTCAAGGTTAATTTTTTTTCGATACGACGAGATACCGTGATTAAACTCATTAAAGGCTAGTGCGTTCGTGTGGAAAAAATATTTAAAAACATCATACGATCTATCCTTAGGAAAGAATTTAGTTTTAAAATACATAATAGTACCAACTCATTTTTTTTGTGACTACATATCAACGAAGAGATTAAATATAATGACTTACATGAAAAATATCTGGACTTCCCGTCCCCACGGAGCTTCCACTAGCTCCGTCCCCACCTCCATGGAGATGGGCTCCTTCCCCATCTTCGAAACTAGCTAGGATCTGCTCCCTGTCGTCGGCTACGTCGCTTAGTCGATCATCAGGGTCTAAGATACCCCCTCCTTGGGACTGTAAGTTATGGACGGACACCCAGGAGTCGGCACCCTGGAACAAACACAAAATTTAGACACAGAATCACTTATAGACTAGGCGGTAGGTATCTGTTTTGGTTTGGGTGAATCGTATATCCACGGAGATTTTTGGCTTTTTGTCTTTCAAATATCACTAGAAATGAAAATTTTTCTATGCGCATAAAAATAACGTGAGCTTAACTTTTAGCGGTACAATATGTTAAAAAAATTCGAAAAATGTCATATTTTTCTTCCTATTTAATTATGTATCCTTTCAAGAGTTGATTTTAGGCGAAAATGGAAGAGGAAAGAAATGTTTTTTGCAAAATATGTCTAATTACAAATCGAATGAATGATTATTATGGTAAAAATCGAAAAAATCGCAAAAGTGGGGTTAAAAAACAATACTTTTTAGGGAATTTTTTTGGGGTATTTAAATTGGGTATAGGACCTTTGTACTTGCCTCAAAAAAACGTCATGATATGTAGAATTATCACACCAAATTTAAGCAAAATCGGTTCGATAGATTTTACATAATAATTTTGCAATCCAGATTTTGAAAAAAAATTTGTAAATTTTCAAAATTTTGCACAGCAAATACCAGGGCCCTTAGATACTTGAAAATTTAATCACATATAGAAGGGCTCTCAAGCTTTCAAAATTATTTTGAAAAATTCGAATCCGTCAATTAAGAGTGCTCTGGCGCTTGTTTAAACATTGGTCGAATTTTTGTACTTATAAACAATTAGAACTTTGTGAATATTCAATCAAATAAAATTTTTTAAAGCAAGTTTTAAATGTTCTTGGAAAGACGCTTCTTTAAAAAAAAACAGATCGATTGATCAATTAGTACGTAGTTATAGCCGTCATTTACACTAAATGTACTGGGACATCCTGGCTAATTTTTCGAAAAATACCTTTGGTATTCCGAGTACTTACCAGGTTTAAGATTACAGTACTTTTCTTCATTGGCAACCTACTTTAAAACGTGTTTAAAATTATTTATGCAAGCGAGAAATTCAATAAAATCGTACGGGTGGTGGTGGTGGGGGGAAGAAGAGAGCGCGGCCGTTTCGGCCTGCTCGAAATTGAATCGGCTATAACTACGTACTAATTGATCAATCGATCTGTTTTTTTTTAAAGAAGCGTCTTTCCAAGAACATTTAAAACTTGCTTTAAAAAATTTTATTTGATTGAATATTCACAAAGTTCTAATTGTTTATAAGTACAAAAATTCGACCAATGTTTAAACAAGCGCCAGAGCACTCTTAATTGACGGATTCGAATTTTTCAAAATAATTTTGAAAGCTTGAGAGCCCTTCTATATGTGATTAAATTTTCAAGTATCTAAGGGCCCTGGTTTTTGCTGTGCAAAATTTTGAAAATTTACAAATTTTTTTTCAAAATCTGGATTGTAAAATTATTATGCAAAATCTATCGAACCGATTTTGCTGAAATTTGGTGTGATAATTCTACATAACATGAAGTTTTTTGAGTCAAGTATAAAGGTCCTATACCCAATTTAAATACCCCAAAAAACTTCCCTAAAAAGTATTGTTTTTTAACCTCATTTTTGCGATTTTTTAGATTTTTGCCATAATAATCATGATTCATTCGATTTGTAACTAGACTTGTTTTGTAAAAAATTTAATTGCAAACATTTTTTTCCTCTTCCATTTTAGCCTAAAATCAACTCTTGAAAAGATACATAATTAAATAGGAAGAAAAATATGACATTTTTCGAATTTTTTTAACATATTGCGCCGCCAAAAGTTAAGCCCACTTTTTTTATGCGCATAGAAAAATTTTCATTTCTAGTGATATTTGATAGCCAAAAAACCAAAAATCTCGATATACGATTCACACAAATATGGCTTTTTGAAACAGATACCGTCTGGACTATTATATTAGTCTACAGGGTGTAACAGCAATAATGGAAAATTTTACGTCAAGTTCTGATAGATATCTCAATCAAAACTCTTTATTTTTCAATTAGTATAATACTCATATAATTTGCACTTATGTATAAGTATACTACAAATAATTAATAATGCTTTCCAAAATGCAGTAAAAATACTATTTCATGTAATTTTACATTTATATGTATTACAGACATGCATACACATTAAAATACAGATACACTTTATTTTATATTTAGGATTTACAGTGTATATACATTATTTTTTCTTTGTAATTTACACAAATCACTGTAGTTTTGCAATAAAATTACTTATGGAATAAATTTCAAACGACAATATATTTCATCACCTTTAACTCAAGACAATTTTTTTTTTCTATTTTAAGAGCTCCTCCCGAGGATTCTGTCACATCTTGTATTCCCTGTAATATATTGCTATTCTGTAAGAAAGAAATGCGTAAATCAGGCTCTAGAACTCATGGTAATAAATTCACACACTGTACACTGAAATTGCATGTGGCCGTGCTTAGGTTAGGTTATCCATCGATTGTCTCATCTATGGCGTACTGATGAGGATTAAGTGCGAAACCGATGTATGTTTGGTGGGTTTGTCTGATGAATGATCATAGCTGTTTACTAGTATTCCTGGTATAACTCAATACTGGTCGGGGCATGTAGCCAGCAGAGTAGTTGTTTCCCGCAGTATCATCAGTTAAAAATCGATTCGCCTAATTGGTGCTAGGTCGTGCTTTAACATTGAATAACAGGGAGCATTCATAGATACAGCATTCTGCTTATACCTAGGTACATATTTTTCTGTAAGTTTAATGTAACTTCTCTGTAATTTTACACTGACGATGTTGTGATACAGATTCACAGTTTTACAATAAAATGCATTATTTCTGGGTAATTGTTCAAGATTTCCAAAGTTATAATAAAGGAAAATGAGTTTAGCTACATTAATGTCGTGTAATTTTTCTTCCTAAAACTCTTTTGCAGTATGGTCATGTCAAAAATCGTTGTGGAGTTATTCGCCTTAAAAGAAAGAAGTTTGAAAAACAAATTCCAATTATAACTTCCAAGTCGTTACCATGACAGCAATGAAATTTGGGCAAATGAAGTACCTCATCTTAATGTTCATTTCCAAGCTTAAACACAGTACAGTATATCAGTCGATATCTTGCACCGTTTCTGAGAAAATCGAATTTTATTTACAACGTACATTTATTGTATCAAAAATGTGAACATTTTTGTAAAAATCTTGGTTTCTATAGAATTAAAAGAAAAAAGAGAACTGTAAAGTAAGCTGTTTAATATGTGCACCTTGAACTTCAATGCATTTTCTGAAATTGCTCAAGCACCTTGCTGTACTCGAAATAGCATGTGGTGATCATTTCTAATGATGTCGGAGTATGTAATTATGCGATTTAATAATTCTTCCCTTCTATTTATAGGAGTTTGATAAATAAGACTTTTAAGATGGCTCCAAAGAAAAAATCCAGAGGATTAAGATCGGGAGACCGAGGCAGCCACGGAAAAGGACTACCTCGACCGATCCATCGATGGGGAAATGTGGCCCTTACTGCCCTGCTAAGTGGTGCACCATCGGGCGTAAGCCATATGTTGTTTCAAATATTTAAAGGGACGTCTTCCAATAAATAGTTAAGGTATTCTTGCAGTAAATGGAGGTATTTATCCCCATTTAAAACGTCATCAATGATATGTGGTCCCACTAAGTACATAGTTTCCAATTATTCCCATCTATACATTAATGATAAATTTTTGTTAGTGTTTTGTCTGAATAATAGCATGGGGGTTTTCGTCACTTCAAATATGCAAATTCTATTTGGAAAGCGGTTGCCGTAAATCTGAACAGCTTCAGAAGCATTACATTCTGCAGGTTCCTACATTAGATGAATATCTGCAGATTCTTCATAGCTAAAATCCTCCATCAACAAATGGCGTCAAAATGATTTAGAACAAATATCTAACTGCTAATTTTACATACTTGTTGACAATCATCTCAATTTCCAAGATTTTTACAAAAATGTTAATATCGCATTTTTGATACAATACATGTATGTGGTTAACAAAATTCGATTTTCTCAAAAACGGTACAAGATGTCGACTGATCTATGGTATACCTTTTTTTTTTTTTAGCAAAGTGAGAGAGGAATCGATCTATGAAAGAAAAAGGCCAAATTTGGCAACGCTGTCGGAGATGTACACATTTAAATGGATAATTTCGTCTGCGCCTGTATAATCCAGGCATATTGAATATCAGTTTAAATTTGGAAATGAACATTCTCATGACTTACTTTAATTGCCCAAATTTCGTTGTTGTCATGGTAACGACATAGAAGTTATAATTGGAATTTGTTTTCAAACTTCTTTCTTTGAAGGCGAATAACTCCACAACGAAGCCTGATAGGATTTTTTTTTTATGAAGTACTACAACTATTTTGAGCTCCCCTGTATACCCTTTTATTTTTGACATGACCTTTCCGGACACCCTGTGTATAGTCTGAAACTTTTTATTATTTTGACCATAAATTCTGTCACACCCTGTAAGTGTAAATTTAGTAACTTCCTTCTAACTTTACGCTGGACATATATTTTGTTATAAATTTCATATAACTTTCCTGTAATTTTACATCCACGATTGCCCTGACAATTGCAGTTTTACAATAAAATTACATAATTTTGGGTAAAACTTCAAAGGAAAACGTATTTTTCAACTACATATATATCTAATCCACTATATTATGATGAGTTGCATCACTCTGTACCTGCCGTAACATATTTCTACTCCGCGAGAGAGTAATGTGGATTGTGGATGGTTCTGCATGTACCAGTTTCTTCCATAAAAATTATCTCAACTGTGATATATCTCCCAGTCTGGGTTACTTATTTACGACAAAATAAACGAAGCAAAAATGCGGAGCTGCCCATGTTACGCCTAAGAACCCGTCTTAAGCAACGGGTATCCAAGAGCTCTTTTCAAGGACGATGGTAGCAGACATGAACGACGTCCGTGTCAAATCGCTCGGTTTTTTTTTCCGGTTAATTTGCTGAAAATTATTATTTAGAGGATGTGACTGGAAACGACCGAGGTG